GATGCCTTTTCTCTTTTTTTTTCAGTTGAACAGACCCGATAAAAAGGGGGGGGCTCGCCTCTCCATGTTGACCTTGGTTTTAATTCCTGACCTCTGCCACTTTCCTGAAACTTCACATTTAATTTCACCTGATGGAGAAAGAAGTGACTTGACTGTCTGGAATACAAATCCATCACGGTCCTGTGGCAGGGACGGAAGAGCTTCTGTCACTTAGCTACGTGTAGTAGTGGAAACAAGGCCGATCACAGCAAACCTCCATTGCTCATTGAGAGAGAGAGAGCTCTTTGGGGTTGGAAGCCTCCTTGCTCGACCGGCACCCAAGACGAAAGGAGCAACCTCCTGTTGATGCTTTTAATACAAAAAGAGACTTGACTTTCAGACGGATGTTCTCACTGCCTGCCTACCAGCAAGGGGTGTTTTTTTGGGGGGGGGTTTTTCCATATGTTGCATTACTCCACTCTGTTCTCCAGTCAGCTCTTCCCCAGTGCTCTGATAGGAAGCACAACAGGGGGAGGGAGCTGAGGTTGGGGGGTTGCTCTTGTGAATTCGTGGCATTCAAAAATTGTGTTTTGTTTTAAATGGGCTGACTCCCTTGAATGGGAGAAACTTATGAAAACGAGCTTCCTTTTATAACGCCTCTCTCATGCCATTTTAAAATCCACTTTTAATATTTTTCTTCCCCTCCCCTGTGTATTCCTCATGGCTTTCAACTGTGTCTGCATGTTAACATTACTTCCATCCCTGCTGGTATCTTCTGGCAGGTAAAACTAGTAGTGAAAGTTAGTCATGTTTTAGCTATGGCTTGTTCTCTCTCTCTCTCTCTTTCTCTCTCACTCTCCCTCCCTTTGAGACCCTCTTATTATTTTTGGTAATAAAGGAGCCCAGCTCTTAAGGGTGACTGATTAAACTAGTCTTGTGAATAAACATTTTGCTGGTGTTTCATTTTTTAGGATTATGGCTCCATTGTACCTAACATAACTTTTGTCATTTTTTTTTTTACTGTGAGCACTCTGGCCCACATTAAAAATGAAATTCTGTTGCCTGCTCTCAAGACACAGTATATATCTACTGTCATACATAACACACATATGCTATATGCATACATAAAAATATACCTGCACCTATATTAGTACATATATATATATATATATATAAATCACTTCCATTTTGAATATGTAGTGGAAAGAGGAAACCTGGGAGTTCACAGGGTTGATGCTATATGGAACAAAACTGAATGAATCTGGATGTTTTTCAGATACCTGTGAAGTATTTATTCAGATGGATGTAAAACCAGTAGTAAGAGGACCAAGTCACTTGTACACTAAGGCCCGAGCGATTACAACTGGCCTTGTGAATATTTGGTTAATAACAGCTATGAGTACGTGATGATGCATGATTGATTCATCTGGGCCGTGTACAAGTAGCCCTTGACTTATGACCTTAATGGAGCCTGCTTACCACAGTTGTATTGGCGGCAGTCATTAAACAAATCATCCCGGTTTGTTAAATGAAGATGGTTATTAAATGAACACCGATCATTAAGCAAGCATGGCTTGCTATGGACATTAAGCAAACAATGGCTATGCTATATAATTGCCAAAACATGGAAGTGCGAGTATTCAATAAAAACATTTCTGAAGCATGATCATGTGATTATAGAACACTGGAAATAATAAATGACCATGTTGCAGAATGCCTGAAATCTGGTCATGTGACCATGAGAGGGGAGAACAAAACTGGGCCATAAGTAGCCCCAAGGTAGGTTGTTGTAATTTTGAACTGTTGCTGAGCAAGCAGTCGTAAAACAACTCCCTGTAGAGAGGCCTAGTTTAATGGAATGTGTGAGATGATCGGTTTTATTTGACACTTCTCTGCAATCTTTCCAGGGTTTGTGTCTGGTGAGAACACAACTTTCTAATAAAGGTACTCCTTGATCCTCCCAGTTGAAACTTGTCTGCCACAGACAAAGAATTACCTTTTGTTGAGAGTTCTCTCTTATGTAGAGATTAACAAAAGACACTACTTGCAAAAGAGAGCAGCTGCTGTGTGTCTTCTCCCTGTTATTTTGTGCCTGTGCAGCAGCTCAGTGACTAGTAATCCTCCACTTATGACCACAGGTGAGCCCCAAATTTCTTGTCAAGTGAGACATTGAAGTTTTGCCCCATTTTACAACCTTTCTTGCCACGGTTGTTAAGTGAATCACTAGTTTGATAAGTTAATGAACTGTTGCAAGTTGAGGACTACCTATACATTCTTTCGATGCCCTAATCTAGGGGTGTCAAACTCATGGCTCTGCGGCCTAGTGTTTAAATCTGGCCTGTGGGGCTGCCTTGGAAAAAGTAAGGAACCGGCCTCACGGTGCCTCTGTCGGTGAAAAGAGCTTGGGGGTGCGGCTGCGAGAGCAAGGAAGGAAAGAGGGGAAGGAAGAAGAAAGAATGAAGATGGAAGGAAAAAGAAGGAAAGGAAAGGGATAATTAGAGCGAAAGAGGTCTGAGGAAAGTCTTCAGCACTTGGCCACCATAAGTGGCCCCTCACACGAGTGTCATCGAGTTGGCCACCCCCCCCAGGTCAAACAACCCTGATGCGCCACAATAGAAATTTGAGTTTGACACCCCCTGCCCTAATCTAACGAGTTCATTTTTCAGAATTTTCCCCTTTAAAGGGACTGTAGGTGAGTTCCAGACAGGCCTTGGGAAAGGTAATGTAACTTGATCCCTACCGATATTTTAAAGACTTGGGAGTCTGATCTGGTAGCCTGATACTCAGCCTAGTAGCAGGTTACCCTACCCTCCTGTTTGCTTTTGGAGATACTTGTAAACCACAAAGGTCTCCCTGCATGTGAGAACCATTCATGCAGCCCCTGTGAGGGATGGTGTCTTTCAAAGCAGGGCTCTCCAACCTTGGCAACTTTAAGCCTGGCGGACTTCAACTCCCAGAATTCCCCAGCCAGGGTTGGGGAATTCTGGGAGTTGAAGTCCACCAGGCTTAAAGTTGCCAAGGTTGGAGACCCCTGTTTCAGAGCATAGTTTTTTTTTTCAAACGTGGCCATTTTAAACTGAAATGTAAGGTCCCAAAATATACCTGAGTCACCAGAATGCCAAAGAGAGAGACTCAAGACGAGGCTTGCAAAAAAAAACAGATTTTATTTATGGCCAAAAACAAAATACTGGGTGGAACTATATCCAGAACATACAGATACAATGCACGCGAGGAGATAGCCACACCTTGGGGAAGGTATGGCGTCCTTTTATACCCTCAGAGACGTCATCTATAGTAACCAATTCTGGCCTCCTAATTTAGGTTTGTGTATTCCTTGTGGCCCTGCAAGGGAGAATAGAAACTTCCCAATTAGTTTTATCTTAAGCATTTCTTTGTTTACTCAATTGGCCACTTAGTCCCCTGGCTCTGGAAGACAGGAGTTTATCCAGATCAAACATAAATTAGGGCTGAGGTGTAAATTATCCCTTTGTTGATGGCTGTAGTTTCAACTGAGATAGGTACCATGCTTTTAGATAGCACAGAAAGAAGATTGATATGAGTTCAGGTCAAATGGCAGGGACATACGTTTGACAAATACCAGATACATTACAGAGGCCTAATAACAGAATATGTTTGTTACAGGAGATACAAATATAAAGGCATAATATATGTGATACAAACACAAAGGCATATATGTATTACAGGAACCTAATGGTTACAGAATCTAGTATACCAGTATATCATATTCTAGTATTATTTATTATATCCTTATTATTGTTTCCCTTCAGAAGATTTCAAACTCTCGGAATTCCCCAGTTGGTTTTGGAGAATTCTGGAGGTTGGAAGTCCACCCAGCTTAAAGTTGCCAAATTTGAAAACTTCTCACATGAGCAGAAAGAAACTTTAATGTTGCTTATTTGTTTGCAATCCTTAAAAGACCTAATTTGCTAATTCTCTGCATTTTTATTATTAATCTCCTCCATCCTTAACACGTCGTCTGTTTATTCTGGAGTTCGACTTCGATTTGAAGTTGTGGGGATTGACTGAGCCTTAAAAACGCAATTCCAACTATTTTAACCACCCGCTTTCGTTTTCCACCCTTGGAGAAAAAGAGGAAAATTAAAAATTCCCCTTTCTTGCGGATCCCACACCCATTTCCCCCCACTCCTCCCTTTGGTTGGAAGAGGTGATGGTGATGGTTTAAGCAAACTCTTTTTTGTGTTCCTCTCGAGAAGTTCGAGAGGAGCACAAAAGGGTCAGAATTTTATTTTATTTTATTTTTTTCTAGGGAGCCTCGAAAAAAAAAAGCCCAGCTAGGAGACAGGGAGAAGCAGTTAGTTTTTTTTTTAATAATATTGGGGCCAAATTATTTAATATATTTTAAATTGTTTTTAAATTGTATGTATATGTGTGTTTTATTGCTGGCTGTGTACCGCCCTGAGTCCCTTGGGAGAAGGGCGGTATAAAAATTTAAATAATAAATAAATTATTTAAGGAGCCTGAGTGGCGTAGGAGGCTAATGCCTCCTACTAAGGCAGCATTTAACATCCAGCTGCCTGCAATTACTGCAAGTTCAATTCTCCCCAGGCTCAAGGTCGACTCAGCCTTCCATCCTTTCTAAGGTGGGTAAAATGAGGACCCGGTTTGTGGCGCCAATAAGCTGACTTTGTATAAAATATACAAAAGTATGAAGGCTATTGCTTAACGCGTTGTAAGCCGCCCTGAGTCTCCGGAGAAGGGCGGCATATAAAAATAAATAAATAAATAATAAATAAATAGAAAGCAGAGCCTCGGAAAAGATCGATGCTGGTTCTTGCTACACCGAAGCACACCGCGCCATCTCCATCAAGGCCGCAAGCCGCAAACGCAGCCTCACAAAACCCACACACGATTCCCCCGCCGCCCTCAGGGCCTCTTCTCGCCTCATCCCCGCTGGCTTGTTCCTTCCCTCCGCCTTCCTCCACCCCCGCCTCTCGCTTCTCAACCCTCCCAACTGCAAGCAGCTGCCGCCGGTTGGGAATTGCAGCAAAAGCCGCTTGGAGAGCGAGCCCCCAAGTTGGGGGAAAAGGCTCTTTTTTTTTTTCTTTGCCTCTCCAAGAGAAGCCAAGTGATCCCGCTCCCGGGTTTTCTTCTTCGACCTTGCCGGCGTCCTGCGCTGGTTGGATCGGAAACCTGCGATCCCCTGCCAGATCCTCGATCGCTCCGGTTCCTGGGCCGGCCAGATCTAGAGGCTCCCTCCTTTTTCCCACCCACCCCCCACGCAAAAGCCTCCACCTCTTCGGGTGGCGCCTCTCCCAATCCGGTCGGGCTGGAAAAGCCAAACAAGGAGGGAGCTCGTCTTTTTCTCCTCCTCTCGCCTCCCTCTCTGCATCGAGGGCTGGGCCGCTTCTCCCTCTTGCTTTCTTTCCTTTCGTTCTCTCTCTCTCTCTCTCATTCTTTCTTTCTCTCCTTCCCTCCGGGTTTGGCGGGTCCAAAGATTTTCCCTCCCCCCCCCGGACGGTCTCCCGTTTTGCTGGCGCTGCTGCTGCTGGAAGCCCCAGGAAGCGTCAAGAAGGAGGCGAGATTGCAAAAAAAAAAAAAGCAAAGCTTTTCCCCTCTTCCCAGCAGTTTGGAAAGCGAGGAGGGGGCGCCTCGACCCCCGTTTTTAGAAGCAGCGCGCCTGGGAACGCGCGATCCAAAAAGGGGAGAAAAGTTGCTCCGGAGACCTTTGCGCGCAAGTGCGCGCTCCCGCCCGGGTGTATATGTGTGTGAGTGTGTTTGTCGATCAAGGTGGGTCATAACACGGTGCGGCCTCTTCTAGCCGGGCGAGGGGGGTTGTGGATTGGGAGGGGGGGGGCTCGGCCTATTTGGGGTAGGTGGGTGTGATCGCGGGGTGGTGGTGATAAGCTCGATCGTTTGATTCGATGCGCGGACGAGGAGAAAGAGAGAGGCTGTTCCTTCCAGGTTTGAATTGGGGGGGGAAAGGAGGGGAGGGGATTGGAGAGTGGGGAGGCCAGAAACGGCTCTCCACTGCCAAAGCTTGCTCGGGATGGGCAATTCAGGCCTGAAAAGGCAGTTCCAGCAAGCGCAGGATGCTATAAATAGATCATATAATATCAGTCCGCCAGCAACCCCCCCGTTTCCCCCCCCTTCATTCATTGCTGAGTTGGATGCCTGCCTCAAACATTTTGCTCCACTCGAAGTTTAGTGTGCAAATTCCAGGTAGGGGTGGTTTTTTTTTTAAAAAAAATAGTGCTTTGCAGAAACCTGCATGGATGGTTTGTCTAGCTGGGTATATATATATATCCAACACAAGACATAGATAGACAATGGCTGCAGATTAGATTTTATTTTGAAAGGCCCACAATAAGGAATCGGAGTGTTTTGACACAGATCTCATTATGCACCTTCAGGTAATGTTAAAATGGTAAGGTAAGCATTGTACCTCAGGTTTATTTATTTTAATTTATATAACCGCCTCGCTCTCCTAAGCAGCTTTCCAATTTGGCCTCTTCAAAAATTCCTTTCTGTGTGAGGTGGCTCTTAAAAATTCCTTTTTATGTCAGGTTGCTCTAGCAAACCTTTTCTCTTGTTGCTAAGGAAGTGGAAAAGCTTAAAGTAACAGCTGAAATTGGCCAAAAGAGCTGGCGTGGAAGAGAGCAAAGTTCAAGGAGCCATCACTCTTGATAGCTTGGCTCTCAAAACATGCTAGGGCTATCTGATAAATTAAAGCAATGTTTTGAGATGGCTGTTTGCAGAGGTATAGATATGAAAAACTGTAAAACGGTGAGCCAAAAACTCAGTGAAAAGGGTTCAAGGTGAACAGGGAGTTCTATGAATAGGTGAGATGTCCCTTCGGATAAATGTCTGAGGCATTTATTACTACAACGTTGGCAACTTTAAAATGTGGACTTCAACTCCCAGAATTCCCTATCCACTGTGAACTTCAACCCCCAGAATTCTGCAGTCGGCATGCTGGCTTGGGAATTCTGGGAGTTGAAGTCCACATATCTTAAACATGCCAAGGTTGAGCAACCACTGGTTTAAGGAATATTTGCACTGAGGCCCCAAAAAGTCTTCCCCCCCCCTAATTTTAACGTAAGGATGCACTCACAGATTCTCAGTGACGAGAAAAGAATTTGTGTCTGTTTATAGCAGTGTTTCTCAACCTTGGCAACTTTAAGATAACTTGTTAGAATTGTTAGAAGAGAACAGAGCTGGAAGGGAGCTTGGAGGTCTTCGAGTCCAGCCCTCTTCTCAAGCAGGAGAACCTATACAATCTCAGACAAGTGACTGTCCAGTCTCTTGTTAAAAACCTCCAATAATGGAGCGCTTCTGATTTCTGAAGGCAAGCTGTTCCACTGGTTAATTGTTCTCACTGTTAGGAAGCTTCTTCTTAATTCCAGGTTGCTTCACTCTTTGATCTCTTTCCAACCATTATTTCTTGTCCGGCCCTCTGGTGCTTTGGAGAATAATTTGATCCCTCTTCTTTGTGGCAGTCCCTGAAATACTGAAATACTGCTATCATGTCACCCCTAATTCTTCTTTTCTTTAGATTAGCCAGACCCAAAACCTGCAGCTGTTCTTCATATGGTTTAAGTCTCCAGGCCTTTGATCATCTTAGTTGCTCTTCTCTAAACTTTTTCCAAACTTAAAAGACTTCAACTCCCAGAATTCTGGGATCTTGGCTGGCTGGCTGGCTGGCTGGCTGAGGAATTCTGGGAATTGAAATCCACCGAAACTTAAGAAGCCCTGGCTTAGAGATACTGCTTTCATTATAATCTTTACATGCATTCTTCTTCTTCACCACCACTACCACCAAATTAGAGGTAGCTAAAATATATAACTGTTTCCCTTAGGGCAAAGTCTATTTATCTCAGTGGGAGTTACTTCTGAATAATGATGAGCACTCAAAATTTCACAAGCAGATCTTATAGTTTCTACACTTTGGGAATGGCGTTCTTGCATTTTGAGGATTGAAGAGATGGTTGGCGCAATCCAGTGATGCCACAGCAAGACAGATATGCCTAAGATTAAAAAAACAGGTTTTGACTTGATGATTTCTTACGCTGCGAGAATATTCCTTTGTGCTGCCAGTCTGTAGCTCTCTACGTTCATTTCATATTTTGAGTTCACCCCATTCCAAAAGAGTTGTTCTGTCCCGAATTCAAGCTTGCTTTATAGGGAAGAAAGATTTTGCAGACATAAAGCAGCTTCTTCCATTTTGGAACAGCTTAGAAGTGGTGCCGAGTTCCCACATGTGGCTAAATCAGGATAGTTAAATTATAATTTATTGAGCAAGTCATAGTAGCCAAATCTGCTTCTAATGCTAAATCAGAATAAATGGATTAACAGCTGATGTTAAATCAAAATCACGACATCACATTGGCATTCAGTGGGAAGAAAGGAGAGCAAATATGGAAAATCAGCAAATCAAGATGTAGGTTAAATTGTGAATACATTAAGAGACAGAAAAAAGAGGCAGGAAGACCGACTCTTAATTCCAGATTTAGTCTAATCTCTGCTTTTTCCATAAAGTGAAAATGTAATTTGGTTCTTTGGAGGTGGAGAGAAGAATAAATGCGGGAATATTTGAACACTCTTCCCCTCTCCCAATGTTTCCATTACTCAGAGATTAGGCTAAATAATTACAAACTGTCCCTTTTTCTGTATCTCGGTGCATTCAGAAATTCAACTCATAACCTGCATTCTCTCAACACATCTCAAGGAGCACCAGATAAAATGGAAAACTGACTGAGTAAATTGGACAGAAAAGAGTTGATATGGGATGAGTGAAAATGTGTGGATTGATTTTCAATATACAAAATAATATAAAATATATTTGCCCTCACATCAAACTTTTTGGAGTAAGTCATTATTATATCTGCTGTTCCAGACACAAGAGTAAAATAATAGGTCACAATAATTGAAGTGAATATTTGCATTTTCACTAACTGTCTTCAGAGAACCAGTGGTGCCCACTATCGTATCACTTTTTTAAGGCTTTCTCTTATGTGTTTCTTATAGTCGAGTCCAGTGGTTCTCAATCTTGGCAGACTTAAAGATGGGTGGACTTCAACTCCCAGAATTCCCCAGGTAGTATGGACTGGTTGTGGAATTCTGGGAGTTGAAGTCCACCCATTTTCAAGTTGCCAAGATTGAGAAACAGTAATTTAGTCCTTGCCATACCCCAACTCTTCCTCCCTTGCTTGTTCTCTTTTAGGCAGTTAGTACATCAATTTGAAACTGCCTCCTCCATTTTAAAAGGAGGCAAAGACCCACTTTTGACTGGAATTAGCATGGAGTGATATTTTGGAGCGCCTGAATGATGGAGATACCGTACTGTGGCTTCCTTTTCCTATTGAAGCAACAATATGCTTTTTATGTAAAAAAACAGAGGAGAAATTCCCACCTCCTCTTTTATCCAGTTTGTCCATAATGCTAGAAGAAGTTGTATGATGTGGCAATCAGTTCTACTTGCCCTTAAGTAAAGTGCTATTCACCATCTCTATTTTCCTGAACAGAGAAAATTATATTCCCAATAGCCAACGTCTGGAACAACCGTAAGCCTGGATGACCCTTAATTTATGGACAAGCTCAGTTGTGGTTTACTTGAAGAATGAGTCAGCAACTTCAGGATTTGAAACACTACTAATCAAGCTGAAAGTAGACGCAGAGAAACCCACCAAGTTAATCAGCATTCTTTGCAGTGGGAGTCCTTTCCGGGAAAATTTTCAGCCAAATTGACTTTTAATCTTCATTTTCCACGTGGCTGGTAAAATAGACATCCTGGGCTAGAGGCCTTCTTTGGAGAGAACCAGGATTTATTCCCCGTGCAATGTTCTTAAACAGAGCCAAGTCATGGTTCCCTAGACTGTCCTGGTGGAGAGGAAAGCAGGACTTCAGCCAGGAGGAGCATTTGAAAGAAAAACCGGAGGTCTCCGCGAAATGCACGGGATCTTCCAAGGCAAGATGGTGGAGTGGCCGTCGGCTTTTGGAAATGATTGGATGGGGCCAAGGTTCAGCGGCTGGAGGGCACTCGCTGTTTGCTGGAATACCTCAATATGTGTCTCCTCACAAGCCATCGGTGGAGTCTCCAGAGCACTTCCAGATTTGCTTCAACTTCACCCGCCACCTCTTTGATCTGTGTGTGGTGACTCTGCTCTGTGCATCCTCCCCGGCTTTCCGGTTGGTGATGGATATCCTGGGATTTGGAGGACCTGTGAAGGTTTGGCTCCACGGCTTGGCCTGTTTCTTGGTCAGCGCCTATGGGATGTACTTGGTTCTGTGGTTGGTCCAAGAGTATCTGTTGCAATTTGCCTGTCTTTATGGGTTTTTACAGACCTTGGTTTTGTGGGTCAGCATCCGCGCTGAATCGTTGGAGTCTCAAGAGGACAAACAAGCTGCCGGACTCGATACAGATCGAGAAGGAGAGCAGTCCGCGGCTAATGGATGTAAGCAAGAATCGCCACTATGAGGAAGAATATTGTATTGTATTGTGTCAGGGCCAGGACTTGAAGCCCAAGAGATTGACTGAAGTGGGGCCCTGGAGAATGAAAAGGAGTAACTTTTATCTTGTATTTAAGATGGCTGGACAGAAATTGGGAGAAGAAAAAGGTAATAAGGAGAAACGGTATTTCTCAAAACGAGTAATGACTCAAAAATAAGCACTACATCCGCAGAACTTTCCCCATATAGGTTGTTCTAAATTCTAGTTCTCAGTGGCTGCAAGGAAAGATGGGATCCATCCAGAATTATCATCATCTAGTGGGGCTCAGCAAAAATCACAGAGGGAAGAGGTGTGAGATTCATCTACCTTAAAGACATAAACCAATCGCAGCCTGGTTTGGGTGTGATGGCTACCCCTAGAGGATTCTGGGAACTGTAGTTTTTGAAGGGAAGAGGTGACAGAAATTATTAACTCTCTTTTTGGGTTTCTTGATAGGAGTCATCTTTACCTCTGGTTTGAATCTGTAGTGCCCAGGTAAAATATATTTTCAAAAGAAAGCAAATAACATCCAAAATATAGCCAGTTCCTGCATATTTACAAGAGCCTACGATTTTTCCTGGCTTTGGCCTCCTATTGCTTTCTGGGTGGCAGTGACCTGGTGAAGATCATCAAGAATAGGCAGCTGAAAATAAAGAGTACCTGCTGTTCCTATATGGTCTAGCCCAAAGAGATCTCCAAACTTGGTAACGTTAAGACTTGTGGACTTCAACTCCCAGAATTCCATGGCTGGCTGAGGAATTCTGGGAGTTGAAGTCCACAAGTCTTAATGTTACCCAGTTTGGAGACCCCTGGTCTAGCCAGTAAGAGCAAACAGTTGCTTTTTAAAACAGGTTGGATGGACTAAAAGCAATGGCTCATTTAAAAGCCTAGAGAAGAGCCAGTAGTTGAATGTTCTGGGGATAAAATCCACTGTATCCAAGGATCTACCCTCTTGCCAGGGAGAAGTAAGAGAAGACATAATAGTTGTATCCGTATCTGAGCCATGGAGTAGCCCAGTGGATGGGAAGGTGAGGTCTACCTTCCAGAGGATTGAGAAGTGGACATCTGAAAGGCAGATGGCTTTAGTGCAGTTGGCAAGAAGGGTAGAAGATCAATAGAAGTCTTAAACTCTGGGTGACAGGGAACCCAGGAAGATTAAATATCTGCCACCCCTTTGCAGAATACCAGCAGAAATAAAAACTCTGAATTCATTCCTGAGCTGGACCTATTGCTGCTTTTTATGTTGGGTGAATTGGCTTTTCCCACCTCATTCTAGTAGAATTGTTGATGGGTGGGGACAGACGATTAGAATAATATTCTGTTTCTTCCATCCCATATCTCAGGGAGAAGCAGTTCTGAGCCTACAGTTTCAATAACCCCAATTGCCCGGGGCTCCCCTTTCACCAGCAACCAGATTTTTACCCAGTTTTGAGAAACTTTGGCTCTTCTCATTTTCTTGACTCCTTTCTCACCTTTTGGCAATATTTAGATCACTGAACCAGGGTCCACATCCCCTTATCGAAAAAAGCTGTTCTGAGCCAAAGTCTTAGCGGCTTAGTTTTATATTGTCCATGTGGACATACAGAATCGGTGACTTGCATATATTTCCCTTTCCATGGTCTCACCGAGCATACAGAATGGTGAATGGTAGCTAAGCTGTCTCCAGGATAACACAGGTCCATCACTGATATGTTTTCACGTGATTTATTTTTGATTTCTTGAATTGCTTTATCTCAAAGGAAGTCACCCCCCCGCATAGGTCATTTCAATTGTCTATGCACAGGTTGTCCTTAAAAGCAGGAAGAATAGAAAGTAGATGTTGAACATCACAGGAGGTAGAAGCCAAGAGAGAAGTTAGGGGGCTGGTATTCTGGGGGAAATCTGAATATAGGGTTTTTTATGTGGTTTTTTTGAGGAAGAATGGTGAGGAAGCTGATTCTGGTAAGATATGTTAGATTCCTAATTGCAGAAGTTTGTTCTTCAATTAAGGTTGGCATGTTTCACTTCCTTTGAAATGTTCTACAGCAGGAAGCCCTCCTAAGATTTGTATGACTGTAATCTTCATGGGTTTTTAAATCCAAAAAAAATCCAGATGGAGGGCATTAGGTTCCCTGCTCTTGCTTGACCCAGATTCTAGCACAAAGTCCATGCTTTCGTCTAAAACAGGGGTCTCCAAACTTGGCAACTTTTAAGACTTGTGGACTTCAATTCCCGGAAGTCCTCAGCCAGTCATGTTGGCTAGAGAATTCTGAGAGTTTGAAGACCACAAGTCTTAAAAGTTGCCAAGTTTGGAAACTCTTGATCTAGAACAAGGATGGACAATCTGTGGCCTCCCAGATTGATGATAAACTACAATTCTCAGGCTTTTCCATCATGGCCCAAGTTATGTGGCAGTGGTACCGGTTGTCCAGATTCAACATTTTTCTTCTATCAGCAAACCATCCCATGAGAATGTTCATCTTAGCCTACTGCAAAATCCCTTTTATGATGCACGATGTGTCACTTCCACAGTCCCAGATGCTGTGAAGCCTTGACTCAAATTATCTTGTCATGAGCAATGCTCATAAATCCATTTTCCTAGAGGCATCTACCCCCCACACATACTTCCTTCTTGCAAATGGAATCCAGCCTTTATCAGTGTAGCTTTTCTATTATCCTAATTATCAGCTGGGGAAAACTTGAGAAATGGGGGGAATATTGTATCAAAGGCAGTGATGTCCCATGCAGTATGGCGGTTGTCAGCATGCCGTTTCCAAAACTAAATTTGGCACGCAAGAGCTGGGAGAAGGGAAGGAAGGAGGCCTCATGACACGTCGTCTAACCTTGGGAAAATACAAGTAAGCAAAACCTCTTCCCAGGCTCTGGGGCTTTGGCAGCTGACTGTTCCAATGGGTTGCCAGAATAGTCGTATCCATAGCGCCTCTGGTGCCATGCCTTCAGATGACTCATTTAAAAAAAATCCCTTTTGCAATACCCTGCAATACAAAAGAGGCTTTCAACTTCTCCCTCTTTTCTTTTTCTCCACAATGCGCATCTGGAGTGCAGGGCAGCCACTCAACCCAGCACATCCTTCCTTCCTTTCCGAAATAGCAAAACTGACTGAAGCGTAGCTCAAACTGTAGTTTCAGTGTGAAGACTGGAGGGGATTTAGAACTAGGGCAAAATCACCAGCATCTTCCTCCTCTCCTGAGCGCAAAGGTTTGTCCTCCCAACCCCAGCCAAGCCCCCTCCAAAATTAGGGAACTACAATTCCATCAACTCCCATTTGTGCGCTGATGGCTGGGTTGATGTAGTCTAGTAGTCCGGGAGCCTTCCAACTTAGTAACTTTTAAGACTTGTGAACTTCAACTCCCAGAATTCCTCTATGCCAGTGATGGTGACCCTTTTCGGCACTGAGTGTCCAAACTGGAACACGTGTGCATGTGTGCGCGCCGGAGCGCCGGAAACCTGAAAACCAGCTGGCCAGCACTCACATGCCTGCTTTTTGGGCGGTTTTTTTGGCTGTTTTCAGACCGTTTTTCAGGCCATTTTAAGGGCGTTTTTGGGCTATTTTCAGGTCGCTTTTGGGGCCGTTTTGTGGGCATTTTTTGGGCCAAACACGCCCCCCCAAAAGGCCCTGAAAAATGGCCTGTTTTTTTGGCTGTTTTCCGGTGCTCCGGCACCCACAAAGACCGGAAACCAGAAGAGCAGCTGGAGACGGCATGCGTGCCCACAGAGAGGGTTCTGTGTGCCACCTCTGGCACACGTGCCACAGGTTCACCATCACGGCTCTATGCTATGCTGACTGAGGAATTTTGAGAGTTCAAGTCCACAAGTCTTAAAAGTTACCCTGTTTGGAGACCCCTGGTCTAGTCCAAAGACAGGCCAAGCTGGAAGAAGGAAGGAAGAGAATTAATCAAGATGTATCTTAAGAACACAGGGGCTTTTAATAATTTTTTTTAAAGTAACCTCTTCCCCTTTGACTGGAGAAAAAAACTCCCCCCTCCCCCATTTTAAAAAGAAGAAAGCAGCCCAAGACCAACTCTTCTTGAGGGACATTTGAAATGACCTTGTGTGTTGTTGGCAGGTGGAGAGAACATTTGTACTTTTCTTCCCCTCAAGCAGTAGAATTAATTCCCACCAAAAAAGCCCTGTTAAAAAGAAACCGGAGCTTGTTTTTCCTGCCTTTCTGATTCTCTCTTACATGTGTCCTAACGTCACACCCATAGAAGGAAATTAAAAGATGATTTTCTATCTTGATTATTCCCTCTGTACATAGATTATTTTTAAAAAAAATATTTTTTATATAGGCTTTAGAAGTATTGACATGGGAAAACGATGACATCCTCACTCTTTGCCAAACCCACAAGTACATGTTGTTGTTTTTTAATTTATATAAAGTGGCACCTCCAAAACAGCATGTGTTGAAGGTGTTACAGATTTACTGTGACGTGCCAGGCGTTCGCCAAAAGGTACTATGACGTTCACATCAAAACATGCCATTTTACCAGATGTCTTGCAGTACAGTATTGTTATGTTCACCAATTGGTGGGCCAAGTAGGATTATACTCATATACAATCTTGGATCATTTATTAAGAAAACTGTGAAAAAGCATTTGCCAATTGTGGAAGTGCAAAAGGGGAGAAATAACACATGTGATAAAAAGGATTCTTCCCATTTCCTTAATTGTGCCATTCCTTTACACACTGAGAGCTGAACTATACCTCTTCCTGGTTCCTAATGTTATTTCGCACCACTCTAGGAGTCTAGATGTTCTCTACGGCCTTTTTGAAGGAGAACATTGCTGTCTGGGGTATGGGAGAAATGGCTGTCTTTTTTTTTTGGAAGAAATGTTTGACCGATAGGGGAAAAAGTTGCATGGAATAAGGGTGTGTGGATGGAGAGGGGTACATGAATTAACCTGCATATGTTCCAAGCCCTGTTTGTCATTAAATCCTTTTGTTCGCGATCTGGTTATTTTTCCAGTTATGTTAAAATATATCTCTATATTTAAATAAAAAGAAAATTTCAACGAGTACAGTAGCTTATATCTCATCACAGCCAGATGAATCGGTTATATCTAATTACAGCCAGATGAATCAATGAACTTAGTGCGGCTAGTCCTCATGACAGTTTGGATAAAGGCTTTGGCACACGGGCAGCTTAAACCGTCTTTCCAACATGTCTGAATGGGGGTTCCAGTAGCCAGTAAAGATTCTTTACTTAACATCGTTGGGGTTGAAACGTGAAATCTGAGTTGTCATTGTTCCAGAAACTGAGGGAGAAGGAAAGTGAAACTGTGGGAGAGATGTTTAATTTCTGAGTTCTTCCCGGTTCTCTCTTGCAAAATGCCCCTTGGTAGTTTTCACTCACAATTTTACTCAATTTCTTTCGAGCTGGGAAAAGCAAATTATTTAGGAGAGTTGAGATAGGAGGTGAGGCATTTGCAGTGCAGAACTGGCAGATGAGGGAAAGGTTTAATTGCCTTTGGGTTTTGCCCTGGAAAGCCACAAGAAATGTTTCAGGATCTCCTTGAAGACCAAGAGTTCTATGACAAGTATAGGGTCTGTGCTCAGTTCTTAATACCAGTCCTAGTTACAGGGCCAACAGTACAGGTAGTCCTCGACTTACGACCACAGTTGAGGCCAAAATTTCTGTGGTTAAGTGAGACACGTGTTAAGTGAGTTCGGGCCCCATTTTACGACCTTCCTTGCCAGAGTTGTTAAGTGAATCACTGCAGTTGATAACGTTAGTAATTGTTAAGCAAATCCGGCTTCCCCATTGACTTTGCTTGTCAGAAGGTCACAAAAGGGGATCACCTGACCCCAGGACACGGCAACGGTCACAAGTATGAACCAGTTGCCAAGCATCTGAATTTGGATCACATGATCATGGGGATGCGACAAAGGTCGTAACTGAAAAATAGTCAAAAGTCACTTTTTTTCAATGCTGTTGTAACTTTGAATGAACTGTTGTAAGTCGAGGACTACCTGTGCTGACTAAAATCATACATCTTGCTAAGTCAGCCTGTGGCCTGTTTGGTTTTGTCCTACCATGTTATAAACTAACTATTGCAGTTTATATGTGAAGAATTATGGTGGTGTGGGCAGCTTGAATTCAGCCAGATGTGTGCTTTTTTTCTAAAACACAATTAAAAACGATGGATTAATGCAAGGTCCCAGTCACAAAATCTGCAATGCTGGCCCAACGAGTTCAATGTTGTTTGCACCACTTTCCTCAACATGGTGCCCTTCTGATTTCCTGTGTGTCGTGTGGATGACAGATTTTTGGGCAATGTTTGGCCCAGTTTTAGAAGACTGATTTTAACTTATTGCTGAAGTGAAGCTGTTCTTGGGATCTTGCCTTTGATGGCACATATAGGCTACAGGTAATCCTCGACTTACGACCACAGCTGGGGCTAGAATTTCTATTCCTAAGCACGGTGGTTGTTAAGTGAGTTGCTCCCGACTTTACAACTTTTTTTGCCACAGTTATTAGGGGAATCCCTGCAGCTGTTCAGTGAATCGTGTGGTCATTGAGCGAATCTGGTTTCCTCCATTCTTCACTTGTCAGAAGCTGGCTAGGAAGATCGCAGATAGGGGAATCACAGGATTCCGGGATGCTGCAGCCATCCCAAATACATGCCAATTGCCAGTGCCTAAAATTCGATCACGTGACCATGGGAATGCTGCAACGGTCATAAATGCGAGGACTGGTTGTAACTCACTTTTTTCAGGGCTGTTGTAACTTGGAATCGTCACTAAAGAAATGGTTGTAAGTTAAAGAGTTCCTGTTCAGGTCTGTTTCTATCCAATGCAATCCTAAATTGCATTAACAGAGGGATTCAATCAAGATCAAGTGAGGTACTAATACCACTCTATAAAGCCTTAGTAAGACCACACCTAGAGTACTGCATCTAATTTTGGTCACCACACTATAAAAAAGATGTTGAGACTCTAGAAAAAATTCAGAGAAGAGAAACCAGGATGATTAGGGGACTGGAGGCTAAAACATATGAAGAACGGTTACAGGAACTGGGCATGGCTAGTCTAGTGAAGAGAAGGACCAGGGGAGACATGATAGCAGTCTTCCAGTATTTGAGGGTCTGTCACAGAGAGGAAGGGGTCAACCTATTTTCCAAAGCACCTGAAAGCCAGACAAGGAATAATGGATGGAAACTGATCAAGGAGAGATTCAACCTAGAAACAAGGAGAAATTTTCTGACAGTGAGAGCAATCAACCAATGGAACAGTGGAATTCTTGCTTTCAGAAGTTGTGGGAGCTTCATCACTGGAAGCTTTCAAGAAGAGACTGGACTGCCATCTGTCAGAAATGGTGTAGGTAGGGTCTCCTTGGATGGGGGGGGGTTGGACTAGATGACCTACAAGGTCCCTTCCCACTCTTAATCTGTTTATCCTGTAACATTTAAAGAAACACTTAAAATGCTTAAATGCTTCTTTTGAAATGATTGAAGTGCCCAGAAAAACATCTTTGCAAGAATTGGAGAAATGCAGTAAAGGGCTAAGCTTTTATCTGCACATTCCTTTGAGATGGGTGGATTAATCACTTCATGCTGGAATTTGCAAATACTGATTTTCTTCAAATGTGCCGCCCCTTGATTCAGTTTTCCTGGGTCCAAATGTCTTTTAGGCCTCCACATTATACAGATAGTCCTCGACTTGCGACCACAATTGAGTCCAAAATTTCCGTTGCTAAGTGAGACATTCGTTAAGTGAGTTTTGCCTCATTTTACGACCTTTCCTGCCTCGGTTGTGAAGTGAATCACTGCGTTTGTTAAGTGAGTAACGGTTGTTAAGGGAATCCGGCTTCCCCACTGACTTTGCTTGTCAGAAGGTCGCAAAAGCGGATCATCTCACCCCAGGTCATAAATATGAACCCTAAGTCTGTGGAAAAGACTTAGTCACTTTTTTCAGTGCTGATGTAACTTTGAACGGGCACTAAACAAACTGTTGTAAGACGAGGACTACCTGTATTTTCACGGGCTTGCTTTGTTTTTAAATAAGGAAGAGCGAGTGTTTTCTCGTTAGAAAATAAATTTTATTTAAAACTACAAGTAATTGCTTCTCCAAGCAGATGAGTCAAATCAGCTTCAAGGGGGCGATTCCTTTCTGCTGAGCTGGATGTGAAGCTGATGGGAGAAAAAAGAACAATAATAAAAAAAAGTTGTCAACTTTTTGCAACCTTCTGACAAGCAAAATCAATGAGGAAGGATTCCCTTAACAACCAGGTTACCAAGTTAACAACCGCAGTGATTCACTGAACAGCTGTGGCAAGAAAGTTCATAAAATAAGACAAAATTCACTTAACCAATGTCTTAATCACAGAAATGTTGGGCTCAATTGTGGTCATAACTCAAGGACTACCTGTATAATATGCAAATGTACAGTTTTTGCATAGTTTAATTATTTCTGATAAGAGAAAGGCAGCTAATCACGTTCTCCCAACTAGTTTTTGAGATCTCACCAATGTCTGCTGTCGATGCTCAGGCCCAGTTTTGCAGTCTTAAGGGCTAGAAACCTGCTTTTAAAACGAACCAGGCTATAAGAATTGGCAAATTTCTTAGGCTTCAGCAGTTTGCCAATCAACCCAAGGAGGTTCCCCTTGCCTGCCTTTTGCGCATCTACAGCAGCTTTTTTCAACCCTTCGAGGAATTCACGTGTTTGCTAGAAAATGGCTTTCCTTGCTGCAGGACTATTGAAAAAGATGCTTTATTTTCTTGTGTCGTCATTTTTAATTCTCATTTTTTAAAACTCCAGCTGGGAGTGGCTGGAACCAGACATAAATTTTCCTATTTCTCTGTCTGGGATCTCATCAATCGTCTCATTCAGACAATACAATTTTTTTTGTGTACAGTTCACTGTGCTTCTTCCCCTCCCAAAGGTTCAGGATGTATCGCCAGGCTCCAGAGATACAACATGAAATCTTGCCCCGGGGAGTCTTCTAATATGTGCAAAAGACTTAACGTGAGATTAATTATACATGGAAATACGATGCTGAACAGAGAAATCGACTTTCTCCCATCACACCATATTTTTCTCTTTGTCCCAGTGGCTTTCTCTCTCATCTCCTCACCTTTTATCATTCTCCCTGACCCTGCAGCTTGCTTTCTGTCCTATCTGCCTTCTCTCTCTCTCTCTCTCTCTCTCTCTCTCTCTCTCTCTCTCTCTGTCACTCCAATCCAGGGGTGGGCTGCTGGGGGTTTGCAGGGGTTCAGCAGAACCTTTAGCTAAAATTCTATGCAGTTCGGAGAACCCCCAAATCCCATTCCTGGCTGGCCCTGCCCACCCCGCGTTTTGGATGCAGATAAGTGCAGGGTGCGCACGGAGGCTTGGGGCCGGCGAAAAACAGGCCTACTGGAAGTTCAGGAAGGCCAGAATTGGGCCCGTTTCAGCCATCAGAGGGCCTCTGGAGCCTGGGGAGGCCGTTTTCACCCTCCTGGAAACTCGAGGAAAGCCTCCGGAGCCCGGGGAGGGCAAAAACGCCCCCCCCCGCCATGGTGCATGAGGCCGAGCAGGCCACGCCCACCATGGCCATGCTCACCCAACAATTAGGCAGAGAACCACTTGCTAAAATTTTTGAAGCCCAGCCCTACTCCAATCATCTCTCTCTTCCCCACCCCCTTTCGCTGGAATAATTTGTAAACATTTTTTAAAAATTCAACTAAACGCAAAAACGAAAAGACACAAAATTATAAAACAAGGCAAAAGAAAGAAAGAAAAAAAACCCCTCAAAGCTGCATAAAATCAAGCTGACAGCGGAAGGAAGGATTTACCTTATGGAAAATTTGCAAGATAAAGCCACAAAATCATCAAGACAGTGAACTTGATTTGAAGATGGATAGTAGAATGGGTCCTTGGTGCTCTCGGAGCTTGGTAGTTTTCTTGCAGATGTTTTATTACCCAAACTAGGTAACATTGTCAGTGCTGATGATCTTATCTAGTTTGGGTAATGAAGATCTGCATGAAGATCAGAGAGCATCAAGGACACCTCATGTCAATCCTGAGCTACAAATATTCTCTTATTGGGTAGTAGAGTGTGGTATGGGGTAGATTTATCTTACCAAAGAATTGGAGGTCAAGTTTCCTGGAATTCACAGGCATCTAAGACAAAGGACAGAAAGAAATGGTTACTTTTGCACAAAAGCCTTCCTTCCTTCCTTCCTTCCTTCCTTCCTTCCTTCCTTCCTTCCTTCCTTCCTTCCTTCCTTCCTTCCTTCCTCCCTCCCTCCCTCCCTCCCTCCCTCCCTCCTCCATGTTAGTTGTGATTCTAACCTTTGGAATCCAAAAATGCATTTTGACTAATGGAGTTAGATTGTCACAAGAGATCAAAACTGTCATAGTATGCCAAGCTTTTACATATATCTAGTTACACACCATGAGTAACTCCTCTTTAACAAAGGATAACCAGTTCTGGGATTTAATTTTTGAGACCGAAGGATCGAATTTAAGGTGGTGCTAAACCATCTGTGCAGAACTGAATGAAAACATTATAGCGTCTGATGCAGAAAATATCTTCATGGTAAAAAAGGAACAACTGCCCTTGTTGGATTACACGAGATAAAGAAATAATGCCATAAGAAAAGTTTTCAATGCATTGTGAGATGCCCTGTTGTTTGGGTACAACAGTGAGGAGTAGGGGTTATTGATTTCAGAGGGGGACAAAGCCACCATCAACACCTGGATCCCTCTAGCATCCCAGCCAGGTCAGCAACAGAGCGGATCCCTAGAACACCTTACATCTCCTGCCTATCCTTTGTACATCGTGCTGGATCTACCATTTTGATTCCCCAGAATGTATCCAATGTAACACGGTTTGGATTATTGTGGGCCCTCAAAATGGTGCTCTTGTTCTATTAGGGAAGATCCCTGAAATCAGGGGTCCTAGAAGATCAGTTAGACCAGGGGTCCCCAAACTTGGCAGCCTTAAGACTTGTGGACTTCAACTCCCAGAATTCTCCAGCTGGCTGGAGAATTCTGGGAGTTGAAGTCCACAAGTCTTAAAAGCTGCCAAGTTTGAAGACCTCTGAGTTAGACTAACGTAGAAAAAGACAAACCAACTATCATTGTTGGAAAGATGGAAAGCACTCGCCCGGAGAACATGAAATGATCGTCTTCCAGGCACAAGCAACTACTTCTGATGGGGTAGCAGGTACACATCTTGGAATGTTGAAATGGCACTCTTGCAAAATGGCTGCCTTGGTGGATATAGCCGGTAACAAATCAGACATTTAATCAAAATCCTCTAACTCTCCAACATGCTAAGCTTGAGAAACTCTCCTCCAAAAGAGTCAGAAGAAGCGAAGCAGAGGCAAGTCGACAGTAAGTGAGGGGATGCAAAAGAAAAGAAATAGCAGGGTGTCTGTGCTGTCACTTTGGACATAAGAGACTGGATAACCAATTGTCTGAAATGGTATAGGGCAGTGATGGCTAACCTTTTTGCCGTCGAGTGCCAAAAGCGGGGGTCACGCGTGTGTATGCCCACACCCATAATTCAATGCCCCCTGCACCCCACCCCCCGCGCATGCGTGCGCTCCCCCCGCTTTTGGCATGCGATGGCAAAATGTTTACTAGTGGGCCTGGTAGGCTGTTTTTCGCCTTCCCCAGGCCCCAGAGGCCTTCTTGGAGCCTGGGGAGGGTGAAAACAGCCTTCCCTCCCCCTCCCCCCCTCGGAGGGCCTCCAGAGGGCCTGTTTCCCAACTTCTGATGGGCCTATAAGGCCCGAAAATCAGCTGGCGAGCATGCACATGCACGCTGGAGCTGAGCTAAGACAACGCTTTGTGTGCCCACAGATATGGCTCCGTGTGCCATAGGTTCACCATCACGGGTATAGGGTCTCCTGCTCGAGCAAGGGGTTGGGCTAGAAGACCTCCAAGGTCCCTTCCAACTCTATTATTCTATGTTCTATGCTTTTTTAGGTCCCCTCTTATTTTTCTCTCTTTACTCTTTCACATGGTTTCCGTTCTCTCCCCGGTAGTGGTGACCTGCGGGTGGGCCTGCCCCCCCCTCCCCCGGTACTATGCCGTCCTATTTAGCCACGTTTTCTAAGCCGCACACATGTGTGCAAGCTGCATGCGCGAGCAAAGCACATGCGCGGAAAGCACTCACATTTTCGGTGTGCGGTGAACCGGTGGTAAAATGATGGGAAACCCACCTCTGCTGCTATTGTGAATAAAGATAGTGCTAGAGATTGGCACTGGGCCCTTGTCACATGCCAGTTTCTTCCTAGCCTTTTCCTGTAAGTGCAAGGACTGGTTCCATTGGTTGCAGCTGGAATTGATCAGCCAGCTTGTTGCCCAACCCTTGGTAGTAAGAGCCTTGGTAGTACCGTGGTCTAAAGCACCCTGTTATTAAGACCAGCTGCCTGCAATTACTGCAGGTTCGAATCTCGCCAGGCTCAAGGTTGACTCAGCCTTCCATCCTTTCTAAGGTAGGTAAATTGAGGACCCAGTTTGTGGGGGCAATAAGCTGACTTTGTATAAATATACAAAAGGATGAAGGCTATTGCTCAGCACATTGTAAGCCGCCCTGAGTCTCCAGAGAAGGGCAGCATATAAATCAAATTTAAAAAAAAAAAAAAAAACCCTGACGCCCTGGGTTGAGGGAGAGGGACTGGCCAAAAGTCACCCAGCCAGCTTTCATCACTAAAATGGAACTAGAACTCTCCCGTCTCCTGCTTTCTAGTCTGATGTTTTAACCGGCTGGACCAAACTCACTCTCCTTAAATTGAACTTTTAATTTTCATTAAATTGATGCCAAGTCAGGGAACCTTCTGGGAGGCAAAGGAATTGTTTTACGGTTTTGCCCTCTGCCAGGATACAGTGCTCGTGCTCACAGTGGACAAGCTGCTAGTCCATAAAGAGGCTCTACCTTGAGTTCTGGGTATAAGGAGGTATTCATTCATATCAAGGCAAGAAGCTTTGTTCCAGAAATCAGCAACGCAGTGTTCTTCAGGATGGAGGATCCGGGCTGGAGAGAGAAGGAAAAAGCAGTTCAAGATCAAGAAAGAATCTGGATTTCAACCTATGAGTTGGGGAACCTATTTTCTCAGCAAAAATGAGAATTGCCGTGAGTATCTCTGGTTGGAGAAATTTATTTATTTAGGGAATTTATATTGCCACCTATTTGCACATGTCGACTCAAGGCAGCTTACAGAATATAAAACCCCGTGTAAAAACAATAAAAAGAATAAAAGAAGTGTGAGGTATCGGTCATGAGGTTGGAGGGGGCTGCACTGCCTTAACTCTTAAGAAGAAGGAAAAAAAACTGGATTTAGGGATCAGAGCAAAAGGATCTTACTTACAGTAGAAAAGGATCCTTTGATAATCCTGATCTGTCTCCTGGACAATGATGGTGTTGGGACACTTGGCGGAGAACAATTCTGTCCTCATGTGAGGCCGGCCTGTTGCAGGAAATCCAGAGGGGGGAAAAAACAGAGAAGGTTGGCATACATATCCAGGAGAACAATACTGGCCAACAAAGCATTTGATCTGCTTGCCTTCAGAAAGTGAGCAAGAGAATTGCCTCTCTCAATTTATAAAAACACATCCCTGCAGGTAGAAAGCTAGTGTGTCAGGGTGTGCTCTTATTTTAATCTATGGAATTCACACATAAACAGTATTAAGGTGAATCTTTAACTAAATGCAGAGATAGGTGCAGTATGCATTAATATCTAGAAGCTCAAATCCAGTTCCTTGTTTAATGAAGCAACTAGAGAAACAGAAGACTACAATTCAGGTAGTCCTCGACTTACAACAATTCATTTAGTGACCGATTGAAGTTACAACGGCACATACTGTAAATGACTTATGATCATTTTTCACACTTGTGACTGTTGCAGCAACCCCATGGTCATATGATCAAAATTCAGATGCTTGGTAAATGACTCATATTTATGACGGGGTTATGTGATTGATCCCCTTTTGCAACCTTCCAGCAAGCAAAGGGGAAGTCAGGTTCGCTTAACAACCGTGTTACTGTGGCATGAAAGGTCATAAAATGAGGCAAAACTCACTGAACAACTGTTTCACTTAGCAGCAGTCATTTTGGGGGGGGGGTCAATTGTGATCGTAAGTTGAGGACTATCTGTACATAAATCTGACACACCTAAAATAATTTCTTTGGGAAAACTTTTACATTAAAAAACTGCAATAGCTGTGAGCTATTGATGTTGCATCTTTTATTCTTCCAGAAAAAAATATCTTTTTAAGAACTTCCAGAAAAAATATCAATGATGTAAAAATATGTATGAAATGACATTGCTTGGCCAATTAAATTGTTATCTTTTTTAAAAAAATAAAAATTGATTTAGGTTGATGCAGGAGTGATAGTTCAGCCATATATATTGGACTAATAGATGCACCAGGGATGTGGTGGCTCAGTGGCTAAGACGCTGAGTTTGTCGATCAAAAGTTCAGTAGTTCAGTGGTTTGAATCCCTAGTGCCGCATAATGGGAGTGAGCTCCCGTTACTTGTCCCAGCTTCTGCCACTCTAGCAGTTCGAAAGCACCTAAAAAATGCAAGTAGAAAAATAGGGACCACCTTTGGTGGGAAGGTAACAGCGTTACGTGTGCCTTTGGCGTTTAGTCATGCCAGCCACATGATCACAGAGATGTCTTCGGACAGCACTGGCTCTTCGGCTTTGAAATGGAGATGAGCACCGCCCCCTAGAGTCGGGAACGACTAGCACATATGTGCGAGGGGAATCTTTACCTAATAGATGCAGTACCCCATTTTTATATTCTTGGTTGGTTTTCATCAAAATGCATCAAAATGAATCCACAGCTTTGTTATTTTTAAGTTAGGCTTCTTTAACAACTATAACAACAGGTTTCCCCAGATGCTAGAAAATATTCAGCCTAAGGCGAGATTCTATAAGTGCAACTCAGCAGAAATACAAATATTGTTTTAAAAAAATTATATGGTTACCCACAGCTGTTAATACATAGGTGCAGAATAGCTTATAATGCAAAAAGCCTGCAGACAAGTGCCTTCAAACACTTGTCAAATTCTTTACTGCCACAACAGAGATTAAAATAGGGTAGGATCAAAAGTGGATTTTTTTCATTGAGCAAATAAGGAAGTTATGAAAATGCAGGTAGTCTTCAATTTATAACCTATTTGTTATCAACCGTTCAAAGTTACGATGGACTCCCAAAAGGTACTTATGACCTGAACTTGAAGTTCTAATAACCGGGCCCTTCACCACAGCCCCGTGACCATATTTTGGGGGCTTGGCAAGCAACTGTATTTTATGGCATCATCCACAGACACAATTTACAATGACCACAATTTACAATGTTTCCGAGCTTCAAACAATGCCCCACAGCAAACAATGGGTTTGTGAGGTCCAAAATGTACTCAAGTCATCAAAGTGCCAAAGAGAGACTTAAGCAGAGGCTTGGAAAAAGTAACAGCTTTTATTTCGCAAAAGAAAATAGCTGAATAGAAAAAGAAAAAGAAATAGCAGGCCGCAAATATGCAAGGAAGAGCCACACTTGGAAAGAGTATGGCGAAGTTCTTTTTTTTTTTTAAATGCCCTATTTTTTAAAAAAAAAACAGTTCTAAGAGTCTCTTTTCCTGGATTTTCTTCTTTCTTTCTTATTTTTTAAAGTTAGGGTCTAAATAAAAAGGAATCTTCTCACCCAGCTCCAATCACTGTTCATCTGCACTGCTCCTGCACGTTTCTTTGTTGCCTCAGCTATCCCAGCTTTGTGGCAGCCATGATGGCTGCATCTTCTCATCGAGGGAAAGGGAAGAAACCCTGAGTCCAGCAAGAGAGGTTTTTTTTTTTTTAATTTGATTTATATGCCGCCCTTCTCCGGAGACTCAGGGCGGCTTACAATGTGCTAAGCAATAGCCTTCATCCTTTTTTGTATATTTATACCAAGTCAGCTTATTGCCCCCACAACTGGGTCCTCAATTTACTTACTTTAGAAAGGATGGAAGGCTGAGTCAACCTTGAGCCTGGCGAGATTCAAACCTGCAGTAATTGCAGGCAGCTGGTCTTAATAACAGGGTGCTTTAAACCACTGTACTTTCAAGGCTCCTGCTCTCCCCGAACCACAGGATGCCCCTCTTTTCTTCACCACCCCTACATGGTGGCTTTAGCTCCTTTTGGAGCCCTCCAACAGGAAGAACTCAGTGTGGGAGCACGGAGACCTGCTCCTCATGTCCGATACCACTGTGACATCAGCCAGAAGTCAGTATGGTGAACTTCTTATACATTCATGTAGCCAATCAGAGACAACAGTTTGGGTCCCAACCCTGGTCCCTGGCCCATGCCTTCCTTATCTATAAAGCATTCCTTATACCCCTGCGTGTCCGTGCTCTCCTCATCAATCTTAACTCATCCCTGGGTAGCTCTTTGTTCTACCATCCTTATCTGTTACTGGCACCAATGCAGCAAGGAAGAGAGAGGCTGGGTGCTTAGCAACACAAAGTGTAGCCAGAATACCACCATATTTGCCTGATGTCTGAACCCTGAAAGGCAATGGCATGCACAGCCGCTTGCTTGAGACAAGCACCAGGCACTGGGTTGTACAGAAAAACAAGACGTTAGAATAATAGCAGAAGCATTTCTTACAGAAGCAAAATAGCAAAGGTTAAACTAATTCTTATTGCTGTGTCCCTTCAGGTTTGCTTAATGACCATGGCATTTGCTTAACAATCAACACACACACACAATTGGTAAAAAAGGCACGGTCACATTAGGAACTACTTCACAACCGTCATCCTTGCTCAATTACCTTCATAAGTCAAGGACTGCCCTGTCCTACATTAAATGCAATTGTAGGTGAGCCCTCCAGTTCCCACAGATGCCAGTGGGAAATATTAGTGCAGATAAACTTATCTTATTGATTTCAGTAGGAAATTAATTGATACCTTTGCCAAAGCCATGAATTCCTATTTACCTTGCGGTGCAGTTATTCCCTGCATCTATGGTTCAGAATCTTAATCTGGCTATATAACATATATTGCTTTTAAGATCAGCTTTGAAGGTAACATTATCAGCAAAGCTGGCTCGCCTCTCAATCAGGAGGCTGTGAGTTCGATCCTAGGTAGCAGCAGGTATTTCTCTCTCTGGGCACAATGAGTAAATATCAGCTGTGAAGTCTGCATTGACGAGAGGAAGGGCATCCGGCCAATAAACACTCAGCTCCATTTAGTTGCCCTGAGTCCACCACGATGCAAGGGATTACGGGGTCATTAAAAGACAAAATAATAACAACAAAATTATCAGCAAAACTGGCAGGAAAAAAAACCTGGAGCCTTACCTTCGGTAGCCAGATCAGCACTTTCTTCCCTAAGCAAATAATTCCACGATTTGGGAATGCATTGGCCTGTTTTCCTAGGAAGAAAAGAGGCAGAGGGAAAAAATACGGGTGAGCCGTAAATGGGCGGAAGGACAGACAAGTTTCAGATGTGGTTGGAAAGAATCACTGTGACTTGAGAAAGCTGGGGGAAGAACCTGACACATAAAATGCGCTTTTAAAAAAGTCAGTTGTAGGAGGGGGTGCATCCAGGGGTGAAATCCAGCAGGTTCTGCCAGGTTCTGGAGAAGTGGTAGCGGAAATTTTGAGTAGTTCGGAGAACTGGCAAATACCATCTCTGACTGGCCTCAGAGTGGGGTGGGAATGGGGATTTTGCAGTATCCTTCCCCTGCCACGCCCACCAAGCCACACCACACCCACCAAGCCACACTCCCCAGAACCGGTAGTAAAAAAATTTGGATTTCACCACTGGGTGCATCTCTGAGGTGGTGGCAAAGGAGATGTGTGTGATGGTGATAGAAAACGCAAGGTGGAATTCTAAACTTGACTTTTAACGATGACAGGATGGAGATTTTGACATACAGGTAGTCCTCGACTTACAACAGTTCATTTAGTGACCGTTCAAGGTTACAACATCACTGACCTACAACCATTTTTCACATTTGTGACCATTGCGGCATTCCCATGGTCATATGATCAACACTGAGAGGCTTGACAACTGACTCGTATTTATGACGGCTGCAGTGTCCCAGGGTCACAGGATCTCCTTTTGCAACCTTCCGCAAAGCAAAGTCAACGAGGAAGCCAGATTCACTTAACAACCGTGCTACGAACTTAACAACTGCAATGATTCACTTAACAACGGCAGCAAGAAAAGTTGTAAAATGGGGCAAAACTCACTTAATAAATGTCTCTCGTAGCAACATGAATTTTGGGCTCAATTGTGGTCATAAGTTGAGGACTACCTGTATATGGCACTTTCTATAAAAATACAATAGGTACTGAGTAAACATACAGGATATTCAATATATATTTATACCGGTTTATATCAGGGGTGAAATGCTCCCGGTTCGGACCGGATCACCCGATCCGGTAGTGATGGCGGCAGGTGGTTTGGAGAACCGGTAGCAAAAATCCCTGCGCCCCACCCCCCCCATGCCCAGCTGAGCCGCAAGATCATCAGAAGCTTTTTTTTTTTACTGTTAAAAGCATTTTTTCTACAACCGCTTCTGACGAAAAAATGCTTTTAAAAGTATTTAAAAAAAGCCTCTGATGATTGCGCGGCTCAGCTGGGATCCTCAGAGGCTTTTCAAAGCATTTTTTTCTGCAACCTCTTGTCTTAAGAGGTGGTAAAAAAAATGCTTTGAAAAGTCTCTGAAGATCCCAGCTGAATTGCCTGATCGGCAGAGGCTTTTCAAAGCATTAGAAAAAATGATTTGAAAAGTTAAAAAAAAAAAAAAGTTGGCCACGCCCACCCAGTCACATTACCCCCCCCCACCAAGCCACGCCCACAGAACCAGTAGTAACAAATTTTACATTTCACCCCTGGTTTATATATATATATATCTTCTCACATCTTCTCTATGTATTTGAAGAACATGATGTATTTCGGTGTTCAGTGGAAAGTGATTTGTGTGTGTGTGTCCGTAATTATTTCCGGGCTGTGTATAATACACACAGTATACACACACACACACACACACACAGTGTATAATATTTGCAGAATGCATATTACATAATTGGGAAGGCAATAATAGGGGACAGGGAAGTGCCTGTTTCTGGGAACCGAAAGCATTGCGGTTGCAGTGCAGTTGCAATCCAGCTACTGTTCTATTTTGTTGCTTTACTATATTGTATTCTACTATTTGATCGCAGATCTGAACTTTAGTTCCTCTAATTTTAGGTATCGGAAGTGGGCTTTTTAAAGAATTCAATCTTTTCTTGAGTACCAGTCTCTTAAAGTAGAGAATAAGCGCCTCCTTCTCTTGATACAGGTAGTCCTCAACTTACGGCCACTTCAGATGGTCACTAAACTGTTATAAGTTGAGGACTACCTGTACTTTCTTGGTCCTGTAGTCAATTTCACAATTTAATCTCATCGGAGAACCTCCTTTAGTTCATTTCAAAATCTCCCATTTCAGTTTCACAATCCTGACATGAAATTCCCTCCCTGCTTATAGAAAGGCGGGTATTTGTGACTTACAACTGTTCGTTTAGGGATTGTTTGAAGTTACAATGGCACGGAAAAAAGTGATTTATGACCTTTTTTCATAACTTAACAACCGTTGCAGCATCACGCGATCAAAATTCAGACGCTTGGCAACTGACTCACATTTATGACAGTTGCAGTCACGTGATCCCCTTTTACGACCTTCTGACCAGCAAAGTCAATGGGTAAAACCAGATTCGCTTAACAAACATGTTACTAACTTAATAACTGTGATGAGTCACTTAACACGGTGGCAGGAAACGTCGTAAAATGTGGCAAAACTCATTCAACAACCGTTTTGTTTAGCAACAGAAATGTGGGGCTCAGTTGTGGTCATAAGTTGAGCACTATCTGTGGAGTGTATTTTTCTCTGTCGGGGTTCAACACATAAAAGCTAATTATGATGGCTGTTGTGGCTCGCCAGCGGCCAGCAGAGCCAGCAGCAGATCGGACAGTGAGGAGGTTGGGGAGGAACATGGGCCAGTCCTGGAGTCTGGGGAAACCTCTGATGAGAGCTCTGCGTCAGAGGCAGAGATGGGGCCAGGGCCGTATGCCAGCTATCAGCTGCCTTCGGAGTCAGACATCAGTGAGGCAGACAAACAGCTGGAGCCTGTTCCCAGTGTGCGCATGTGCAGAGTTGCCAGACGAAGGAAACAGCTAAGGAACAAGGGTCGACTTGGGAGTAAGGCCACAGGTGGACGATGAAGGGCCCTTCCCAGAGGGAATAAAAGAGGAGAGAAAGGGGAGTGGAGTTTGCAGGAGACAATGAGTTCATTACTGCATTCTTGCCAAGTATTGCGGCGTCTGAAAGATATCGGCCTGGCCACTCTCCAAGCCTGATAAAGGTCGGTAATTGTGAACTATCTTGAAAGACTGTGGGAGAGGAAAGACTTTGCTGGAGAGGAATTCACTGTAAATTAAATAAAAGGGGATTATTGGGACGAGGCCTCAGCTTCGTGCTACTGGGGAAGTCTAGGTCAGAATAATGGCAGCGGTGCAGGGGTGGGTTCTACTTACCTTTACTACTGGTTCACAGTGGGGCCGCATGTGCACACATGCTCTTCTGCACATGCACAGAAGCGTTTTAGTGACGTTGGGGTCGGTGGGCGGGGTCTCCCGCCGGTTTTACTACCGGTTCTATAGAATCGGTGCGAACTGGGGGGGGCAACCCCCTACTGCAGCAGTGAGTTTGGCAAATTGTAATTTCTCAAAAGACTTACAGAACGTCCGTTGTTTTGAGGAAAAGCAGTATGAAAAACAGAACCACTTTTGTATGTCTTTATCCACGAGGCAATTATATTTCACAAAATGCTTTTAAGCATTGTTACAGGCACTCCCAGGTTATTTTATGGTCACCCACTCACGTACACCCTGTTGAGGCATGCAGATCATCTAAGCTTCCCTTGCTTTCTACCTCAAATAGGTGTGTCTAGAATAGACAAGACACACAGCTCCTGGTCAACAGCCCAGAAATTATTAGGGTCTCTCTCTCTCTCACACACACACACAAATCACTTTCAACCGAATACTGAGACACATCAGGTTTTTCAAATACATGGAGGAGATGTGAATTGAAAGTAGCAGCAAAATGTTACTGGTTACACAAGGTACATTTGCTCTTTCTCACATGCACATGCACACTTCTCCAGACTTGGGCCCTCAATTAGGCTGCTAGCTAAATGGATGGAAGCTGTCAGTTTTGGATACAGAATAACAGAGTTGAAAGGAACCTTATAGGTCATCTAGTCCAACCCCCCGCCCAAGCAGGAGACCCTACAGCATTTCTGACAGATGGCAGTCCAGTCTCTTCTTGAAAGCTTCCAGCGATGAAGCTTCCACAACTTCCGAAGACAAAGCTGTTCCATTGGTTAATTATTCTCACTGTCAGAAAATGCACTGATGATGCTACCTAGTTTGGTAATGAAACGTCTCCAGAAAACCACCAAGCTCAGAGAGCATCAAGAACCCCACAGTTCAACCCTGAGCTACAAATATTCTCTTCTGTTGGTGAAGACCAACATTCTGCTTTTGGAGATGTTCTCTTTTCATTTCCTGTATCAAGGGATGGGTTGGACCAGATGCCTTAAGGGTCCCTTCTCGTTTTTACAGTTCTGCAATAAAGCTGTCACAGACAAATGACCTTTTCACCTTGAAATTGTGAATGAAAGCAACTTAAATTTCTCTTTTTCTATTAGACCTCGGGCTGTGTGGAAGGAATCCTACCGTATTTTCCGGCGTATAAGACGACTGGGCGTATAAGACGACCCCCTACTTTTCCTGTTAAAATATAGGGTTTGGGCTATACTCGCCGTATAAGACTACCCCTCTTCCAACACACACCAAATAAAAATTAAAATACATCAGATTTGATTTCAATATGGTAATTTTAATTCAAATGCTTATGCCTTTCCAAGAATCTAGTACACCAGGATACAGTGGCCTTAAATCTGTTGCTGTGATCTGGGTTAGATTTGGCCCACTGAAGTGCAAACAAACGTATTTTATTTCGTGTCACTACATAACCGTTTTGGCGATGCTCATTCACCATGTCTGCTACATGTTTTTTGAGTTCTGGCCAATGTGGGGTGCCTCTTCTTAATGCACACTTACCCCTTGGCATACTCTTTAACGCTTTTACATTTGCTTTCCAGTCCCGAACCATCTTTTCTGTTACTCCATATTGTCTTGCAGCAGCACAGTTATTATGTTCCATGGCAAAGTTTACAACTTTAAGTTTAAAACTGGCTTCATATTTCTTTCTTCTTGCTGGTGGAGCCATGATGGGGTCTTGACTGTTATATTTGTATACTATACTGTATGTACTGTTGCTGTACTGTATGTATTGTTGCTGTACTGTAGAGAAAGGTAATGGGCTACGCTACGTGTAGTGGCAAGAGGGCTATTTTGTACCAGGTTTTTTTCCTTCACCCATGCAGCCTTGTCGAGATCTGCACAGCTTCATGAATCTGAGTTGCTGGCACTGACTGATGACATTGACAGAAAGCTGTGCCAATCTAGTCAAGGCTGCATGCTGCTGAATGCTGGAACCAGCTGGCTGCTGAGCGGAGCTTCTCCCAGGCATCTAGGGGGGTATTACCGACGCTCTGACTTCCCCAGCTGACCCCCACTGATGGCGAGGTCCACCGGTCTGGGGAAGTCAGAGCGTCGGTAATATCTCCCTGGATGCCTGGGGGGAAGCTCCGCGCAGCAACCAGCTGGTTCCAGCATTCCAAGGAGGTCCACGGTGAAAGCGGCGCCGCGGTCGACCTGGGCCAGCACCTTGCACACCTGGCTCTGCGTCTCCATTATGAGAAGCTCCATGCGACTTCGCATGTCTCTGCCCTAGTCGCGCAGCTCTCGCAATCCGCTCACCGGAGGAGCCATGAAGTGCTCGCACCGCCTTGCCAGATCTTCCTCATCCTCCTTTCCCCATGGCTTTTCCGGTTGTAATTGCTGCTGCTGCTGCTGAGGCTGCTCCTTCATCTCCGCCCGCCGCACCAGACCCAGCCCGGCCAGCACCGCCGTGGCTCCCGCAGTCCAAGCGGATCAGCACCTGGGCTCGCAGGCGAAGGGTGGGAGTGCACAGCGCACTTTCCTGGCTTGGCGCCGATCCGGACGGCTGCAGAAGGAACTGGGCACCGGCTGTCATGTCTTTTCTGCTGTGCGGGATTCGGCACCTGGGCTCCCGGGGTTTAAGCCTCCGGGCCGGCCCGCGCTGCTCCAGGATGTTCGCTTCGGGCTTCTTGGAATCGCTGCCGGGCGGTTCTTCCCGTTGGGGCGATGGTGGGTGGCTGCGAGCCTGGAAGAGGTGGTGAAATGCAGAGCAATACCTCATGGGGAAGGAGTTCGCCGTGGCTCCTGCAGTCCAAGCGATGCCGATCGCTGCCACCCACCATCGCCCCAACGGGAAGAACCGCCCGGCAGCGATTCCAAGGAGCTCGAAGCGAACATCCTGGAGCAGCGCGGGCCGGCCCGGAGGCTTAAACCCCGGGAGCCCAGGTGCCGAATCCCGCACAGCAGAAAAGACATGACAGCCGGTGCCCAGTTCCTTCTGCAGCCGTCCGGATCGGCGCCAAGCCAGGAAAGTGTGCTGCGCACTCCCTCCCTTCGCCTGTGAGCCTGGGTGCCGATCCGTTTGGACTGCGGGAGCCACGGCGGTGCTGGCCGGGCTGGGTCTGGTGCGGCGGGCGGAGATGAAGGAGCAGCCTCGGCGGCAGCAGCAGCAACAATTACAACTGGAAAAGCCATGGGGAAAGGAGGACGAGGAAGATCTGGCAAGGCGGTGCGAGCACTTCATGGCTCCTCCGGTGAGCGGATTGCGAGAGCTGCGCGACTGGGGCGGAGACATGCGAAGTCGCATGGAGCTTCTCATAATGGAGACGCAGAGCCAGGTGTGCAAGGCGCTGGCCCAGGTCGACCGCGGCGCCGCTTTCACTGTGGACTGCTGGGAAAGAAAGGAAGGTGACCCGAATTCTGGGGTAGAGTGGGGACGCGTTCCTTTCTCGTGGGCCGCGCACTGCCTGGCACCTCTTGTAGGTTGGAACTAATTTGGAGTACAGCTTCCCCTCAATGTTGCCGGCGCTCCCAAAGTGTCATCGGTCAGCGCCAGCAACTCAGATTCGGGTACCCGGCGTATAAGATGACCCCCGACTTTTGAGATGATTTTCCTGGGTTAAAAAGTCGTCTTATACGCCGGAAAATACGGTAGCTATTTTGTGCTTATGATTATACCTCTTTTTGCTCTGAGTAAAGCCCAAGGGCAATGTTTACATTCCGTTCCGTCTTGTGGCCTCATAGAATTTTATACCGGTAGTCCTCAACCTACGACCACCATTGAGCCCAACATTTATGTTGCTAAGTGAGATATTTGCTGTGAGTTTTGCCCCACTTTACAACCTTCCTTGCCACCATTGTTAAGTGAATCATTGCAGTTGTTAAGTTAGAAACAGGGTTGTTAAGCGAATCCAGCTTCCCCATTGACTTTGCTTGTCAGAAGGTCGCAAAAGGGACACTGCAACCGTCATAAATATGAGTCAATTGCCAAGCATCTGAATTTTGAACACATGACCGTAGGGATGTAAGTGGTAAGTGTGAAAAATGACCACGTTCCTTTTTTTTCAGCACTACGGTAACTTTGGTCACTAAACAAAGTGTTGTAAGTTAAATTATTATAAAATCCGACGTCTGTCCTAGCTCAACACCAATAAGGCTCCCAAGATGGTGACACGGATTTGCATAGCAAAATTATTGAGTCTCTACCAGGGTGAAATGCGACTGGTTCAGACCGGTTCGGTTGAATCGGTAGTGGCGGCAGCAGGTGGTTTGGAGAACTGGAAGCGGCAGCAGCTTGAGGCTCCGCCCATCCACCCGGATGTTGTTACTTCCTGGTTAAAACCTGTTTTTTACCCTCTGCGCATGCGCAGAAGGCTTTGTGCATGCACAGAGGGTCCAAAATTGCACGCATGGAGCACACGCTTCCGAACTGGTAGGGAAGGTAAGTAGATTTCCCCGCTGGTCTCTACATTAGTGTTTTTCAACCTTTGGCAACTTTAAGACCTGTGGAATTCCCCAGCCAACATGGAGACACTGCTGTACACATCCTGTGCACATAAGAGGCCCTTATCTTCATTAATAATGCAATATGGGTGCTCCTCGACTTACGACCATAATGTAGCTCAAAATTTCTGTTGCTAAGTGATACATTTGTTCAGTGAGTTTGGCTCCGTTTTACGACTTTTCTTGCCACAGTTGTTAAGTGAGTCATTGCAGGTGTTAAGGTTGTTAAATTTATTTATTTATTTATTTATTTATTTATTTATTTATTTATTTATTTATTAAATTTATATCCCGCCCTTCTCCCTGAAGGGACTCAGGGCGGTGAACAGCCGAGAATTAAAATAACATACAATATAAAAGTTAAGATAATTAAAAATAAATTAAATTAAACGGCCGCCCCAATTTAAAATCCCTAGCTATACAATTAAAAACTAACCCATAAAACCTATTCAGGCCAGGCCAACTTGCTGAAATAAAAACGTCTTCAGGGTCTTACGGAAAGTGCGGAGGTCTGGAATCAGCCATATTCCGGGAGGTAGCTTGTTCCAGAGGGCGGGTGCTCCCACAGAGAAGGCTCTCCCCCTAGGGGCCGCCAGCCGACATTGCTTGACCGACGGCACCCTGAGGAGGCCCTCTCTTTGAGAGCGTATTGGCCAGTGGGAGGTTATCGGTAGCAGAAGGCGGTCTCGTAAATACCCTGGCAATATGAATCAACTTTCCTCATTGACTTTGCTTGTCAGAAGACTGCAAGAGGATCACATGACCCCAGGATGCTATCACCATTGTAAATGTGAGCCAAGTATCTGAATTTTCATCACATGACCATGGAGATGTGGAAATGGTCGTAACTCTGAAAAATGGTCAAAAGTCACTTTTTTCTGTGCCGTTGTAATTTCGAACGGTCACTAAATGAACTGTTGTAAATTGAGGATTATCTGTATATATTCTAGAGATTCTTGGTTCAGATCTTATCCCGGGATAATGTATAGATCCTGAAGAGATATCCCGGAGACTGAAGGACTACATCCTTGGTTAAAAATGTCTATGTGTGTTAAATTTTGGAAAGGTTAACTTACAGTCGGATGGCAGCCCGTAGTTGCAACCGCTCTGGGCCCTCACTCTGATTCATACTAAACAGGGTGCTGTCAACATAGGCAAATGTCTCCAACGATGACGATGATGATGATGCAGCTGCGATGAAGAGCCACCTGCCAAGATACTGCAAAAATGAGGATTTGGTTACTTCAGGATAAATTAAGAGAGCAACAGAGGTGATTCTAAATCCCCAAGCTTTATTCTTAGGCCTAATTTTTATGTTGTGGCCCGGCGGCAACCAGAGGAGGTTGGGGAGGAACTTTGGCCAGTCCTGGGGGCTGGGGAAAGCTCGGACGAGGGCTCTGCGTCGGAGGCAGAGAGGGAGATAGACAGCAGCGAGGCAGAGGAACCTTCTGACAAGCAAAGTCAATGGGTAAACCAGATTCAAAACTGGTTGTGTGTGGCAAGAAATGTTGTAAAATGGAGTAAAACTCACTTAGCAACATACGTTTTGGGCTCATTTGTGGTCGTAAGTCGAGGACTACCTGTATTTTAGAAAAGGACAGTTCTTTCTCCAGCGATCATGTCTTTTGACACATTGTCAACTGCCAGAATAGAAAATATTGTCAGTTCAGGCTTGGAAGAGAAAATAGAAAAGAGTGGGTGAGGAAAGAACTAAGTGTTTCAACGGGTTTCTTGTTACTAAATGTAGAATTCTGTGTAATTTGGCAAATTGAATGATGGTATGTCAGTGCAACAGAGGAAAATAAGCAAAATAGTCCAGTGGTGAAATCCAATTCTTTTTTACTACCGATTCTGTGGGTGTGGCTTCGTGGGCATGGCAAGGGAAGGATATTGCAAAATCTCCATTCCCACCCCACTTTGGGGCCAGCCAGAGGTGGTATTTGCTGGTTCTCCGAACTACTCAAAATTTCCACTACCGGTTCTCTGAACTACTCAAAATTTCCAGTACCGGTTCTCCGAACTGCTCAAAATTTCCGCTACCAGTTGTCCAGAACCTGTCAGAACCTGCTGGATTTCACCCCTGAAATAGTTCCCTACCCAACATTGCTTTTCCCCAAGAAGAATAACCTATTTGGCCTTCTGTATTTGCTAATGACAGATTCGCTCCTTGGACAATCCTTTTAAATCGACATTCTCACATGCACCGTACATACTGAAAGATTCACTAAAAGAGATTCCCATCTAGTAATGTCATAGTTATATGGTAGGTTCACCGCATACATAAACATCAAGCCTATATTAGAGAACCTAGAATATAGAATCATAGAGCTGGAAGGTACCTCGCAGGTCATCTAGACTGTGTTGTTTCTCTGTGTCATGTAATATATGTGGGCATATGCATAATTTTGTATTTATATATTCATTCTTTCATGGTTATGTAGTATATATTGGAGGTGGTGACCCTTTGAGAGCTGTATGCAATTAAAATTTCATTTTAATGTATGCCGATTAGTGTACATTCCAAGTGACAATAAAGCTATTCTATTCTATTCTATTCTATTCTATTCTATTCTATTCTATTCTATTCTATTCTATTCTATTCTATTCTATTCTATTCTATTCTATTCTATTCTCTAGTCCAACTGCTTCCTCAAGTTAGGAGGATCTTATACCATCACTGTTAGGGGTGGGATTGAAAAATTTTAGCAACCGGTTCCCTGCCCGGTTGCTGGGGGGGGGGGCATGGCCATGGGGGCATGGCCTAGTGGGTTTCCTGCACCACGGTGTGTGTGTGGGTGTTTTCACCCTACCCAGGCTCTGGAGGCTTTGCTCGAGCCTCCGGGAAGGCGAAAACGGCCTCCCCTGGGCTCCGGAGGCCGGGAACGGCCCGTTTCTGGACTTCTGGTACTTCCAGTAGGTCTGTTTTTCGCCCTCCCAGAGACTCCATGCAGGCCCTGCACTTACCTGGCATCCAAAATGGGCTGCGTGGAGACTCCTGGGAGGGGCAGGGTGGGGTGGGCGGGGTCAATCAGTCCTTGCAAGTACCGGTTTGGTGAACCAGATTAAAATTAACATCCGATTCGCCCAAACAGGCTGAATTCCACCCTTGATCACGGTCAAATGGTTGTTCAGTCTATTCTTTAAAACCTCCAGTAATGGAGCACCCACAACTCCAGGAGGCAAGCTATTCCACTGATGAATTGTTCTCAGTGTCAGAAAATTTATCCTTGCTTCTAGATTGGATCTCTCTTTGACAAAGCTTCCACTCATTACTTCTTGTCCTGCTCCCTGGGGCTTTAGAGAGTAAGTCTATTCTCTTTTCTCTCTGACAGCCCTTCAAGTCATGGAAGACAGCTATCAACTCACTCCTAATGTACCTCTTCAATAGACTACTTGTCCCTTTTAAAATGTTCTCTATCTTTAGTTTAAAAAATATTTTTATCTGATAAAAATCATCAGAGGAACTGAAAGCCGGTGCAGTCTTGGGAGTCCTAGTGGACAATCATTTAAATATGAGCCAGCAGTGTGCTGCAGCTGCCAAAAAAAGCCAATACAGTTCTAGGCTGCATTAACGGAGGGATAGAATCACGTGAAGTGTTAATACCACTTTATAATGCCTTGGTAAGGCCACACTTGGAATACTGCATCCAGTTTTGTTTGCCACAATGAAAAAAAAAGATGTTGAGACTCTAGAAAGAGTGCAGAGAAGAGCAACAAAGATGATTAGGGGACTGGAGGCTAAAACAAAGAACGGTTACTGGAATTGGGCAAGTCTAGTTTACTGAAAAGAAAAACTAGGGATGACATGGTAGCATTGTACCAATATCTAAGGGGCTGCTACAAAGAAGAGGGGGTCAATCTATTTCCCAAAGCACCTGAGGGTAGGACAAGAAGCAATGGATGGAAACTAATCAAGGAGAGAAGCAACCTAGAACTAAGGAGAAATTTTCTGACAATTAGAACAATTAATCAGTGGAACAACTTGCCTCCAGAAGTTGTGAATGTTCCAACACTGGAAGTTTTAAAGAAGAGATTGAACACCATTTGTCTGAAGTGGTGTAGGGTTTCCTGCCTGAACAGGGGGTTGGACTAGAAGACCTCCATGGTCCCTTCCAACTCTGTTATTCCTGTTCTGTTCTGTTCTGTTCTGTTCTGTTCTGTTCAGACTTCCATTGATTAGAATTTTCTCCCCATAGATTAATCCAGCTATAGTTAACTTTTATGAATGTGGACACACAATCATAAACCATCTTCACTCATTGTGATTTAAAGAAACTTCCCAAATTGTGGCTTGAATTGAATTGAATACTTTATTTGGCCGAGAGTGTGATTAGATCAGTGAGGAAATCCAAATTTTTTTACTACCGGTTCTGTGGGTGTGGCTTGGTGGGTGTGGTGTGGTGTGGCTTGGTGGGCGTGCCAGGAGAAGGATACTGCAAAATCCCCGTTCCCTCCCGACTCCTGGAGGAAGGATATTGCAAAATCTCTATTCCAACCCCACTCTGGGGCCAGCCAGAGGTGGTATTTGTTAGTTCTCTGAACTACTCAAAATTTCCGCTAACGGTTCTCCAGAACCTGTCAGAACCTGCTGGATTTCACTGCTGGATTAGACACACAAGGAATTTGTCTCTGTATTTCCATATTCATTTCCGCTTTCTAGATGAGATGGCTTAGTTGAGAATTCTAGGTAATCCCAATGTATCTGGGGTGATCAGATTGGAGAAAACTGGTATAGATATTAGAAAGCTTTCTAATCATGGACAGGAGTTCTCAGGTCCCAGAGGTGGAACTCAGGATAAACTCTGGTTTGTTCATTGCTTTTGTCATAGCAGCTCTGAAAGCAAAAACATTTGGTTTGCTCTTTTTCCCCCTGAAAGTCTGAGGCCATATTATTTTCAACAAGACAGAGGACAAAAGAACTTTCCCATAAATTATGGTTTGCTTTAGTTACTAGAAAAGTACACGGGATTTGCAATATTGACCTCAGGCAGCAAATATCTTGGTCTTGACTGGTCTTGCTTCGGTTAAAACTGCTTTTCATTGGGGACATTTTTTTCCCATGCCTCTTTCCAAAACTCCACTCTTGACATTTAAATCATACCAATACTAGGTTGCATTTGCAAAGGATTTTTCTAACCAAGGTTGAAATCCGTCTCAAAAAGTGGGCTTTCCAGTCACCAGAAAGCTATTTATTTTCAACTCAATTCTTCTTGGCATAACTTTGAGTTTATTGAGGATTGAGGCAGCAGATCAAGTGTATAAATACACAGTACATATTAGTAAAACTCATCAAAGACTAATTTATTTTTGAGCATTGAGATTTATAAAACTTAGGTTCACCAACTATGGTGTTTAAGTCTGGACTAGGTAAAGGGAGATTTTGGTTTGAGGCTATTCTTAAACCTTTACAAACCCCTCGCATCCTGGACATAAATTGTTTCAACTCCTACCCTCAAAACAACGCTATAGAGCACTGCACACCAGAACAACTAGAAACAAGGACAGTTTTTTCCCGAACGCCACTACTCTGCTAAACAAATAATTCCCTCAACACTGTCAAACTATTTACTAAATCTGCACTACTATTAATCTTCTCATCGTTCCCATCACCCATCTTCTCCCACTTATGACTATAACCATGTTGCTTGTATTTTTATTGTTTATATTGTTCTGTTTCCTAGTATGATTTGATTGCTTATTTGTACCCAATGACTATCATTAAGTGTTGTACCTTATGATTATTGACGAATAATATCTTTTCTTTTTATGTACACTGAGACAAATGCACCAAAGACAAATTCCTTGTGTGTCCAATCACATTTGGCCAATAAAGAATTCTATTAGAATAGAATAGAATAGAATAGAATAGAATAGAATAGAATAGAATAGAATAGAATAGAATAGATTTTTTAATTGGCCAAGTGTGATTGGACACACAAGGAATTTGTCTTGGTGCATACGCTCTCAATATACATAAAAGAAAGGATACATTCATCAAGAATCATAAGGTACAACACTAAATGAAAGTCACAGGGTACAAATAAGCAATCAGGAAACAATAAATATCAATATAAATCTATTCCATTCTATTGGAAATTTACTAGGTGATGTGGGCCAGCTATTCCTTCTCATCCCAATATACCCCATAGATCAGTTGTGGGGAAAAGCTGGGGAAGGAAGGGCTACATACTGTATGTCTTGATATGGAAGAAAGATGAGATAGAAGGGTAATGAAGGAATAACAACAATAATACACAGTACATTTGTATGTTTTTCCTCCATCTCTTTACGTGCCTGCCATTCACCTGATGCACCATTTGGAAATTGTTGGATTAAGGTGGTTTTCCGCAACAAAAAGCAATTATTAACCGTGGCATCCTGCCTGGATTTTTAAATTTTTGGTTACCTGGTCCCGGTTCAGTTCATTAGCATGCAACTTCACTGGATTCTCACATGGGAACACGGCATCCACAAAGAGTCCATAGAGGTAGAGCAGGTAAGTCCACAGTCCCTCCATTGCTTGGAGCTATTGATGGCTTGCTCTGAGAATCAGTCTCTGGAGGTAGATTTTGTACAGCTGACCTTTGCCCTCAGCTTGTTAAATGTTTAGCCCTCCAGGGTCTAGAGTCCATTGCTGTGTGTTTTAGACTATGAGTGAAAATGAAATCCAGAAAGATCCTACCCAAGCAAGGCCAGGGGGAGGGGGCTGGAAAGCAGACAAGCCGAGGAGGTGCATTTAGCGAGTCCTATAATGTTCCCTTATAAGTAGGAAGCTAATATTGGGTTAGAAAGGGATTTTCTTCTGAAGTGGTTTTGTCCACAGTAGGAGCTTTGCGCTTTTTATTTTAGTTTGGTTTTCTCCTGCCCTAGGTCATCTGATTTAAAAAAAAAAAAAAAAGCAATTGGCTAATTTAAAGCAATAGGTACCATTTCCTCTTGCTAAAGTTTCTTCAGCCCTTTGCTCAGGTTTTCTTCCCCTTTTTTGTTAATATCTCCTAGGCCCAATCCTGCATAATGTCTCCAAAACCAAAGTGCGCAGATATTTACAGGTACTAATTTGCCAATAAAGGAGAATAATTGTAGCTCAGAGTTGAAATGAGGGTTTCCTTGGTGCTCTCTGAGCTTGCTTGTTTTCTTGCAGACTAGGTAACATCATCAGTGCTAGTAGGTACGATAGTAATGTTAAGGATATTCTTGGCTCATAACCGATGTTGTAGGTTATTGATCAGAGTACCCTTTGAGTAAACACATGAAAAGTGACTGGGAGTGGTTGTGAACAATCAGTCAACATACAAACACACTGAGTTGTTGTAGTCTTTTACTTTTAGAAAAAGTAAAGCAAAGTCCAAAAAATAATCCAAGTCATACACAGATAAGACGAGAGTTAAAAGATCAATCCAGGGATATTTCAAGTACAAAGTCTTCTTACCAGTTGTAGTCATACACAATAAAACAGTTCTTCTTGAGTTTCAAAACAGGAACAAGTTCAATATCAAAACATTCAATAAATAGTAGAAAGCAACATGTAGCTATGATCAAACAGTGATCATGCAGAGAGATCAGGTAGAGAGTTACAGCAAATAAGCAGGTAAAATGGTGTAGTATCCACACAAGCCATGATCCTGACTTCCCTTAAATACATTGGCTCCAGAGCTTAGCCAATCAGGATACAGGAAAATGCAATACAGTCTTAAAGCAATATAATACCTTTCTGACTGCAAACATACATTGTTGGTTTATATATTGCCTGACCAACTAGTTAGACAAATAACCATTTCCTAAAAAGTAGCACTGATGATGTTACCTAGTTAGGGTAATGAAACGTCTCTGCAAGAAAACAAGCAAGCTCAGAGAGCACCAAGGACCTCTCATTTACACATACTCCTCAGCATACAACAGTTTGTTTAGTGACCATTCCAAATTACAATGGCACTGAGAAAAGTGACTTATGAGAGTTTTTCACTCTTATGACCATTGCAGCAACTCCATGGTCACATGATCAATATTCATATGCTTGGCAACTGACTCACATTTATGACAGTTGCAGTGTCTTGGGATCCTGTTCTCATTTTTATTTTATTTTTTTGCAACCTTCTGACAAGCAAAGTCGATGTGGAAACCAGATTCACTTAACAACTGTGTTACTAACTTAACAACTGCAGTCATTCACTTAACAATTGTCTCACTTAGCAACAGAAATGTTGGGCTCAATTGTTGTCATTAAGTCCAGGAGTGCCTGTATACCAGCAGTGTAGGGACTATATGGTTTTGTTGTAAGAAATGTTCACTCTGGGTTCAGTTCCAAGTGGGGGGAAAGACACTGGATTCATGGAAGTTGCTTGGAAAGAAGGTTTATTGATGAACAGGATCACATGTGTTAGATCGGGCAATAGAAGAGACAGGACTCAGTGCTAACAGTAACAATAGCTCTTTATTAGTAGATCAGTACAACCCAGCAGCCGGTTCGTCTGACTGCTTGCCCTTTTATAGAGAGCTGTCAGACAGGTCGGCCAATGGGATTTGAGTATTTTCCTGCCGGATTGGCGGACCTGAGTGAAGCCTATGCTCCAGGGGTGGGTTCTATTTATCTTTACTACCAGTTCGCAAAGGGATTTTGAGCTGGTTAGGATTGAGCAGAGTTAGTTTGCAATATTACATTCTAACCACTGCGTCACCAATGATGATATGCTATCATTACTGTTTTGCACATACAAATGTATTTAAATTTGTATTTACATTTCAGATTTGATGTTAGACCAGATTTGATTTGAATACCAGAAAGACAACTAGTTAAAACTTTGCTTTTTGAAATATTAAGGCAGCAAAGGCTGGTACTTGTGCCTTCATCCACAGTGATCCACAAATATCTATCATATGCGTTATACTGTTGGGTTCAGTTCCAAGTGGGGAAAAAGACACTGGATTCATGGAAGTTGCTTGGAATGAAGGTTTATTGATGAACAGGAACACATGGCTTGAGTTCCTGGGCAGAAAAAGGGCAGAGATGCTGAGAGTGCCTAGGTTTTATGCTCTCTGTTGGGCTTTGAATTTGAGCTTGTATTCTGGGAGTCAGACTCCCAGGGGCCATGCAGGGGCAACTCTGTGGTCTGTCCTGAGTCCCAAGCTTGGTTGAGCCTTGCTGGGTGATGTAATCTTCCCATGTGCCATGTGGTGAATTCTGTTGCTAGATGGATAGAGGGATAGAGGGCTAATCCTACCAAGCTGGCTCTCAAAATAATGATGTGGTTGTGCTCACATCTGGTTGGGGAAGACACTTCCCCCCCCCACTTCTCTGCACATTCTTACCTGTTGAATTTCAGCCTTCTAGAAAGCTGTAGTGAAATCTGTATTTTTTTTTCGTATTACTGTATTGGTCGAGACAGAGTTAAAACTACTTTTGATCCTTGGGAATCATTTATTGGCTATGAATAACTTAAAGATGGCACCTATTGAGAGCTGAATATTAGTGATTACTAAATAATGTGAGTTGGGGGCAGAGATGGATTGTTTGTTAAGATTGACAAGAAGGTCTGTTGCCCACCCAAAAATACATTTCACCTAGTAATACAGGCAAAGCAAAACTCATTTATTAGGTGGATAAAGTCAAATCTATAAAGGCAAATCTATGGATTACATTGCTCTTTCCCAGATGGGTTTCTTTCTTTAAAACTTGCAAATGTATTAACTTTGAATACAAGTGTGTTGCAAATGACTTTCAAAATAGCGCTCTCTATTGTTTAATATTGAAGTGGCAAGTTTTTGCATAACAAAAGAAATGGCCTTGGCCAAGAGAAAAAAAAACATGTTTTCCCCATAGTCAAAAAGAGGCCTAGATTGCCATGTTCAAAATGCTAATATCACCTTTTAAAATGCTAATAATGAAGCTTAAAATTCCAGGTAACCATATTAGCATTTTGGCATGGTAGGCACATCTGAAGTTTGGGGAAATCATGTTTTCCTTTTAATCAAAGCCATTTCTTCTGAATTAAACTTTTCTGCAATTAAATAATAGGGAGCATATCTTGGAAGTCCTGGAAGAGTTCAAGTCCACACATCTTAATGTTGGCAAGTTTGAAAAAACACTGTTTTTCAATTCTTTGGTTTGCAGCCTGTGAGCTACACAGAGCGGTTGAGAAATTGGGTGGCTTTGGAAATGTGAATTATAAATTAAGCATAAATAAAACTAGACGCTCAAGGAAGGAAATACTTCCTATCCCTATTTCGAACATCCTTAATTACACTGATTTAATCATCCGAAAATGCAACACTGTCTTTTGCAGCAGTTCCCATTGGCCAATCGTTGCTAAGCGACGAGCGAAAACAAAGATGGCGGCGAAACAATCGCTTCTACCACAGACTAATATAACTCTCTTCCTCCCGTGTCTTCATATTAGAAGGGGAGGGGAGAAACCCTAAATAAAGATGGCGGACTAAACTTCTCTTTCCCGGGCTGCAAGCGGGGAGGGGTGGATAAGCTTCTGCTAATTTAAATAACATGGCGACCACAAAGGTTCCACCCTCCGCTTTTGCTTAACGGCCCCTTTTACGTCATAGGAATACGTATTGTCATCTCAACAGCGCGCGGACGTAAACTACAAATATTCTCTTGTAGCGGTAAAGCTATTTGGCTCCTCCTACCGCGTCCGAGGCCCGGTTAAGGCATTCCTTCGGACGTACTAGTTTAGTTCAGATGCTTAAAATTATTTTAAATAGTATATGAACTGAGGAAGATATTTTTTTAAAAAAAAACAAATAAAACCGAGGAAGCTATTATCAGCGCCTGGGATTTTTTTTTCCTCCCACTTTTCCTACCGAATTTTTGAATTGAGAAGCGTCGGGCAGTCCTTTAGGCAACTATGGAACAGTCGCCAGTAAAGGGGCTTAGCGGGCTCCAGGCGCATGCGTAGTGACCGAACGGCCGGGAACGCGGCGCTTCGGAAGGCAGGAGCTCGCTCCAGCCGCGAGGCCGGCGGCTGTTCGCCCGCCCCCCTCCAGATATCCATTCCGGAGCAGGTTTTCGTGAGGAAAGGACCCGCGGTGGGAGAATTTTTGCAATCGGAGGACCTCCTTTGCCCGGAGTGAAGCGGAAGCGCCGCCATTTTAAGAACGTCCGGAGAATCGCTTCGACGCAAGCGTTAGGTCAGAGAGGTAAAGCCGTGAGTAAAAATGAAACGCGGGCCGATATTTCCGGCTCTTTCTTTCCGCCCGGGTTTTATATAAAACCCGGGCGGAAAGAAAGAGCGTCGTTTGCTCCTTTCCTCGGCCCACCGTAGGGGGACTCTTTGATAGAAAAGCGAATATCAATAATGACATAATACCAACGCGACCCTCTCTTGTGAGTGCAACGTTCAGCCCCGAGATGGGCGAAGGGGAACCCGGAGGTGTGTCGTTCTTTTTTTTTTTTTTTTGCTAATAACTCTATGGAGCGAGGATTTCCCCTTCTCTCTCTCTCTCTCTGTATATAGGCTGCTTTAAAAAAAAAAAAAAAAAAACCTCCCCGACCCCTCCCACCTTTTCGGGCAGGAAGTTTTTTTTTCTGGAAGCGGAAGGAAGAAGCTTCTGGGCTGGGAAATCGATTCCTGCCTGACGGGAAGTTGAAAAGGACGCGAGGGGAGGGGGGGGGAGGAGGAGAGAGCGGTTTCAGGGGTTAAAAAAAAAATTGATAAAGGGGGAGGGGGGGGAAAGGGAAGTGGGAGGAGGGAGGGGGCCGCTTCGCGTTGCTTCTGAAGGCCCCCCCCCCGCAGCGCTTTTGCCTTCCGACGATCGGATCCTGGGAAAATACACCGTATCGGGTTGCCGAGGACGGCGTGGGATCGTTCTCCGATAACCTGAGGGTATATTGGGGGGGGGGGGGGAGGGGGGGGGGGGGGGGGGGGTATGGGGGGGGGGGGAAGAAGGAGGGGGGGGGGGGGGGGAAAGGAAAAAAAAAAGAGACGTGGCTCTCAGCAGGCGTTCATCTTGGAGCAGGGGAGGTGGCGGTGGCTGAATGGTTTCTCTTTTGGTAGGTCTTTTAGGTGTATTTTTCTCTCAGCCAGGTTTTTCCTACGTAAATCGGGATCTGCATACAGCCGTAGTTCAGTGAAATCTCATTCACTAGTTTCTAGTCAGTAAACTAGTCAGAAATAGGTCTTAGTCTCCCCTTAAGTCTCGCAACAGGCAGCGAAATGCTGGTTTGATGTCTGATAAAGCCTAGAAACTAGTGAATGAGATTTCGCTGAACTGAAATCTGGCTGAGAGAATATATATATATATATATATATATATATACATATACTCTCTAGCCAGGTTTTCTCTCTAGCCAGAGAGAATATGCACATAAAAGCCTATGAAAAAAGAAAAAAGATATATATATATATATATATATATATATATATATATATATATATATA